AGTATTAAAATCGAGCAACTTCATATCAAGATCCGCGATGAGTTCAACAGGCTCTGTGACACTCTTGACAACAACGTCAATCTCAACGAGACCGTCACTCGCACTGTGCTGGAGGAACCCACCAGCATCGTCATCTAGCAGTGGCCCGACATACATATCGTCCGACCGGCGATAGCTGAAGCCCTTATCTTTACGCATTAGACGCCAGCTATCCATCTTCTGGATTTGCTAAGACTTGAGAATGTTTCGTAGTTATTTTCATGGTTCCAAATTTTCTTATTGAATCATATTTACGTGTAGCATATATGTACATATTTTTACCAAAATTTCTTTATTCAATGGTTCCTACAACTTGATAATGATTCGTGCTGCATTCGAAATGTCATTGATAAATGAAATGACTTTGTTAAACCTGCACTTTGATCAACCAACGTCATCTGAAGAATATTGCTCGATCCTGAAAATGAAAATCAGTGAATTTTCTGGTCATAAACCACCCGTGTTTGAACAAATTAAAGTTAACGTTACAATATCGATAATCACATACAAAGTTTAATACTGGTTGTAAAAATAAGTTTTTGATTATTTAATTTATTATTGATCGGAATAAAGGTTGAATATTTGTTTAACATGACCAATATTCAACCGCTTCGATCAACCGCTCGATCGATCTACTTTCGACGCAAGAACAAATTTCTTAAGCTGGGGTCCTGTGCAAAAATTCTGGAACATTTATTAAATATATTATTCATTTGCATAAAACTTGTTTTTCTCTGCAATAGTCACAATTTTCTTTGGCTGTTGCCGTATTTTAAACTTCAACCGATTATACTTTGATATGGGAGTTTTGTCGATGGGTGATGCTCTAGAGGTCGAAAACGATAAAATCATGTAATGTTCAAGCGACAGAATTATGGGACTATAGCTTAAAGAACAAAATCTGAGATCAAACGTTCCCTCTGTAATCACAACACAATTTTCGGTTTTGCCAATTACCGTGGCGAAGCTGTTGCGGTTCATAAGCGATCCAAATCAAGTTGTGCTAACTTACTTCCAAACTTTCTTCCAAAATTTTTTGAACACTAAACACGGGACTGAACACATGAAAAATCAGGACGGGTAAATTGGGAATCACATGCTTTACTTGCCGTCTTCATATGACCCGAACCAAGTGCTCACTGTAATGTTCACAAGTCTTACTGAGCAGGAACAATGTATTCATCAATCGATTGCAAACGAAGCAACTTGTCTCGATCAAATCGTCCTTGGTTCTGAGATACGAGATTGGTCGAAGCTCAATTTATATCCTCGGTTCATTTCCGCAGTGCAAAAAACATGTCATGCAATGCCAAACCTCCCTTCCATTGTCCACTGCCGAAAGATCGCGAAATTACGCTGGTAAAAATTCGGCGTTGCGGCATGTGACGAGGACGCTTTTGATGTGTCAAAGCTTCAGCTGAAAACAAATTGCCTTGGGCTTGAAAATTTTCTGGAAAAACAAAAATTATATCGAAATAAATTGCAACGGTTTGGAATTGGAAGTATGTGTTTACAGTGAAGAAGTTCAGGAGATGGAAAAATATGTTGAAGATGTAAGATTGGTGTTGGTAAATTGATACAGCATTGAAGAGCCTTTATATACCAATGATATACGATCTGTAGGCAGTAAAATTCGCTCCAATGATCAAGAAATTCATGATGAGTGAATAAGAGAAGTAAATTTCTCCCTATTATGTTACTTTTATTTTTATATGCGTTGAAATAATATAAAACAATTTGAAATTTTGAAACTGACACTGAATGAATACAGTGAGAAAAATGAGTGAGGAAAAGTACTTTCATTCATGCTTATTTCTACCCAAATACCTATAACGCTCCCTCCTTTTAATTCAGTGTATCATTTTAGAATTAAATGAAAGGATACATAATTTAATTTATATTAATTTATTTGTATCAATTTTCAATGGGTTAGTCATTTGTGCTGATTACGGCAGATTTTTATAACGCATTAGTGAAGAAACGAGTGATGGACAAATGACAGACCTAATCCAGCAAATTTCGTTTCGTGTTGCTGTGGCTGCATACATTTTTTGTACTATTCATAATAAAGTTTAAACTTCGCTATTTGGTTTCACGGAAGTCGAACTTGGGCAATCAAAACCGCATAACCTAATCGACGTCTTTGTCTAAAATTTGCATCAAAAACACATATTGATCAAGTTCTTCCGATGATGGCTTCTCTCACGCGTCGTCGCGACAGAATGATTGCCAGTCTTTGTCGCATTTGGAGATAAAAAATAATGGAGAGGTTCACACAGAAGCATCATTACGATTTTGTGACAAATTCGTTGGCCCCCATGTAATCTTTGTCATTCGTCAGTCGTTGGTAATCAACGTCGGTCGACTGTGCATTGTGCCCAACTTCATTCCCTAACAGCCTACTTAACTACAGGAGAAAGACTACAAATATTTTATGGATCAACTCCACCTTGAAATTTTTTGTACGTTTTTTTTTGTTGCCAATGTTTGTTAGTAAGAGTTTTTCTCTCCGTAAGGTTCCTTCGTGACATTGACCCTTGAAATGAAAGATGATATCGACGTTATTTTCGGTTTGTACTCGTATTGTATGACGCGAGCCTCAAGTGAATGCACATAAAGTGATGAAATTCTTCCGAATGAATCGAATTTTCTGCTAGGACCATCCAAATTGTGGCAGCTACAGTGTCCGAAATGGCTAAACGACCACCCGTTTTTTTCTGAATATTTTTTATTGCATTGAGAATACTGGATTTTAATTAAATGAGATTAAAATACGTTTAAAAACGGTTCCAACGCTATACGAAAAAAACTTTTTTTTCAAAATATACAAAGAAGAAATTATGGAAATTAGAAAAACCTAGGTGGAAATGGTTACAAGATCATGATGGGTTTATCTTCATTTTAGTATCTTTCTGTTATATTTTCATATTAAAAAGTACAGCAACATGAAGAATATCCTGATTTTCGCCATTTAGGGTACTTCTTGTGTACTTTTGGTGTAGTTCAGTGTCCTCATTTATATTTTTTCGAAGTAAACAAAATGCCAAAAGGGAGAAGACTCTCAGAGGCTGAGAAGGCGCAGATATTGGCCTTTGCGAAATACGGTAGAAGCCAACGGGAAAGCGCAAAGGAAATAAAACGCTCAAAAACCGTTGTACAATCATAATTTTCCAATGCGGGCGGCTAAGGATGAAAAAACACGCTGGACCAACCCCAAAATTAACCGACAGGGATCTTAGGCGACTATTTTCAGAGGCGTCTAAAACTGGCGCTACATCTTTTTCTATAAAATTGGCCACTGGAGTGTATGTGACAGCACGACGCATCCGTCAGATATTGCATGACTCGAAGAAATTCAAGTACATGAAGCGGAAAAATGCCCCTATGCTTAAACAAAAAACATGTTATCAACATACTAAAACTGGCTGAATAAAATGTAGTTTTCGGCGAGGGATTATCTTCAGCGATGAAAAAAAATCACTCTTGATGGTCCAGATGGAGGGCATGCTATTGGTACCACCTGGACCGTGAGCCTGAATTCTTTTACAAGCAGCAATCTGGTGTTGGATCGGTCTTGGTGTGGAGGGCGCTCAGCCGAAAGGGGAAAATCAACTCCAGCTATTTTACAAGAGAGACAAGATTCCGAGGCATAGCACACGCTATTTCACCATCTTCTCCCTTTTGCCGATGGAAACATGAGGGATCATTTGTTTTCCAGCAAGGCAAAGCTTCGATTCACACTTCAAAGTCAGCAAACAAGTGGTTCCAAGAGCAGAATATTATCCTGTTGGCTTGGCTAGTGCTCAGCAATGACCTCAATCCCACTTAAAACTATGGGGCATCATGGCGAGAGATGTTTACCAAAATGAGCGCCAGTTCCAATCTGTGAGTGACCTGAGCACGGCTATCCTTCGTTCCTAGGATAAAATTCCTCAACAGACTCTGGATTATTTGATAAATCGCATGGGGAGAAGATATATTAAGGTAATTAAGGCAAAAGGAGGTAAATTTTCCTATAAAACGAGTGTATGGGATCCAAAAACGGAAAACCCTTTCTTGATCTATTATAACCATCTCCACTTAGGTTTTTCTAATTTTCATAATATCTTCAGATATATTTTGAATTTTTTTTTCGTATAGCGTTGGAACCGTTTTTAAACGTAGTTTAACCTCGTATAATTAGAATCCAGTATTTTTCATGCAATAAAAATATGCAGATAAAACGGGTGGTCGTATAGCCATTTCCGACTCTATATTGCAAGATGAGATGCTATCAAGCTCATTGGAATCTAAAGAAGTCATCGTTCCGGGTATATGGTCAAGGGATTTATGTAAGGGGCATCACGGCGAGGGATGTTTACCAAAATGAGCGCCAGTTCCAATCTGTAGGTGACCTGAGCACGGCTATCCTTCGTTGCTTGGATAAAATTCCTCAAAAAATTCTGGATTATTCGGTAAATTGCATGGGGAGAAGATACATTGAGGTAATTAAGGCAAAAGGAGGTAAATTTTCCTATAAAACGAGTGTATGGGATCCAAAACGGAAAAAACTTTCTTGGTCTCTTATAACCATTTCCACCTAGGTTTTCTAATTTTCATAATATCTTCATATATATTTTGAAATTTTTTTCGTATAGCGTTGAAATAGTTTTAAGACGTAGTTTAACCTCGTATAATTAGAATCCATTATTTTTTTATGCAATAAAAAATATGCAGATAAAACGGGTGGTCGTATAGCCATTTCCGCCTCTATATTGCAAGATGAGATGCTATCAAGCTCATTGGAATCTAAAGAAGTCATCGTTCCGGGTATATGGTCAAGGGATTTATGTATCTAAACAAATTGCGACGTTTAACTGCTATTCAGCTCGAATTCATGAAGATGTCTTTGATTTGCAAGTGCAACATGTTAACAGTATATAATTAAGCAATCAATTCCAGTAGGTGAATAAAATTTTAAAAAGAAATAGCATATATATTGAAATATAATGCGTATATATTAGAATGAGGAATCATGATAGAAAAGTAATTACACGAGAACTTTTCGATTATTTCTAATCAAAATATTAAATGATTTGCGAACCGAAGTGAAAGAGCTACAAGAAATGATATTGATTTTTCAATTTCAGAAAAAGAAATTACTTCAGTTTATTTATTTCGTGATTCCCGTTCATTACACAGTCATTTAAATTAACTGGATATTGGGATTAATTTAAAACAATTAGATTCTGTGAAACTAATTACCGGCAAATGTTTTATTCTCAACTATTGGGTGCGATGATGAAAAAGTGAAACATTCATCCAAGTTTAATATTTTTGAGAATTTTTGAGAGAGAAGTTCAGCGGTTACTTTGAGAATTTCTGCTATTACTGGGAAAACCTGCTATAGAAAATTCATTGAACGAGAAAATCTAATTGATTTCACTTCTATGAGAGTCCAAAAAAAGAGGAAAGCTACGAACTATTCGTATGAATATGAATGGCATGCAATATATTGATTAGAATGCAAATAGTTATTGTGTCGGTCATACCCAACGTGTAGTAAAAATATTTAACAGTATTAACATTCTAGAACATCGTATATATCGAATACAAATTTGGTGACTGGAATAATGACTATACGAGTAACATTTGATATGGAGAATCACACGTAGATCACAATCAGTATATCAATATCAGAGAAGTTATGCTATACACTGAAATGTGAGAAAAACTTAAACATTCTCATGTGCTTTGTCAAGAATGAGACTTTATGATATGAATTTAATACACTCAACGATCTACTTATAAGTCTATGCCTGGGTTTAGTCTCTCGTGATGACAATGAGAATAAGCGACACATAAGCCATAGAAAAAGGTTAAGTTCAATTCTCACAATGATTTTCTCGCCTGCAAAAACTAGCATTTTCCTACAGCAACACAAAAAAATGCATTCCGATCTGTTATCTTTTTAATTTAAGTCCATGACTCATGATTTTTTTGTCAGCAAAAACTAACATTTGCTGACAAAACCATAAATGTATTAAATAAATTCTATGCTTTTAAGAAATGAAATCAGATCTGTTTAATTTTTTATTTAATTTCCTAACAAGAATTAATAATTCTTCCTCGGCAATATGTTAATTGTAACGTGAGATACTCTACAGCCGAAAGTTAAAATTTCTTATTGGGCCGCAAAAATTTCCAATCCACACTAAAACGTTGCATCAAATTCGCTCTGGATGAAATGGCACAAAATTTCATAATAACTAGATTCTTAACAAATAATTTTAGGAATTAAAAAGTGTAAATAAGCCTCTCACTCACAGCAATAATTTAAGTGCTTTAAGCAATTTACTCATTTTTCACACGTTTACTATGTACACGTACGAGATTGCAATAAAAAGCACTCACTCGGACAGCACACAGAGCGTTCCAAGGAAAAACAGATCTGATTAAATCGATTCCGAAGGTGCAGAGCATCTGAAAATATATTGCGAAAACAAGATCATTGAAAAAAAAACGTAGAGCGGTGGGAATTCACACCACACGACAGGTGAATGCACGAACTACAAGACTATATGTACGAATATACAAGGTAATGATTGTATACCAGGGGAGTATTGTGACGTTCAAACGTTCTCAAAATGAACTAAGAAGACGTTTCAAATAAAAATATCACAAGTGATGAATGTATAGAAGAGGCTATGATAGGTAAAAAATACATTTATGCTATTGTGCTTATTATTATCATGAAAATGCGAACGTAATTACGTAAAACGACATTGAAAATATATCGTATTTGTAATTTAATTACAAATCAAAATTAATTTTCGAAGCTCTGTCGAGAACCGCCGAAGAATAAATTCGTAATGAATATATGCAATAAAAACGCATTGCCCGCCCTTGTAGGCTAGAGCTCATCAATTTGTTTTCAAGGTCCTCCAGAGACACAAATATTTGTAAACAACATTGAAAAACAAGATTTATTCGCAGATGAAGCTGATAAAAATAACACCACTCTGTAACATCATCAACAATAAAAGCCTCTAAATGTCAACAAAGAACGGTGCATCATATCAACGAGGATATCTGCGTCCGACTCAGAACAATGCATATTAAAATTAAATATTACATTGCGAATATTGACATGTTTTCACAATAGTAACCTATACGCTTATAAATTATGTAAAGCTCTCTGTGGTGGAGTCGTACCTGAACAGGTCCTTTAAGCTTTTTTAGAAATTATCTATTGCCACCAATAACATATGAGTCGTCATTTTGTAAGTTCTTTAATTCATTTAATTCAGGGCTTCTAAATACAATCAACAAAAGATACAAAACCTCAGATACAAGTGATTTTAAACAGTATACAGACCTCAAATACATTAGTTAATTATACGACCAGTGTTGACCTTCACATCCCATATTATGAGCAAACTGAATTTACGATTATTACAAAACGATGAATTTACGATTGTTACAATGTTAATAAAATTTTGTGGCACTAGACCGAATCAAAGAATGAACTTCAATATAATATTTTAGATTCTCTCCCAGAAAGAAAGCGAGGGCTTGAGATAAAAAGATATATTAAATAATATTTGAAGAGAAATTTCGACTTTTTAGTGGATTATTTTTCTTTGTTTTGCACATTCGAGCTCATGGAAACAAATGAATAAAAGCCTCAACGAAGAATTGAAAATTCAAGCCACACGTCAGCTTAATTTCAATACCAGGAACAAAATAAACTGGACCTTCATTGACTCTTCTTTCTTTACGCGAAATTAGCCACAAGTATTCAATGTCGCTGCCCAACGCATCTGATACCGATAGAAGTATTTGTTTTCTCACCTTACAAATTAAACTTAATGAATTGAAAGGTCAAACATGAAAAGGAAATAAATATTTTAAAAAATTTCCCTCCGCATTTTTGATTTTCGACAGGGCAACAAATAAAAGAAGACATAGGCTCTAACAAATGTCAAGGGCACATTGTGATATGACACACTTCCTTCCTGTAAATTTTAATTTATCAAGGAAAATTTTTTGAGATTTTATGGTTCCAATATTTTCCCTGCGATTGCATCTATTAATGAAGCTCTGGGAGTCAAATCTAATAAACTCTTACACCTTCAGTTCACATACTTCTTGCATCAAGTCGTAAAAATGTGGACTTTGGATTTAAGTTCGTGGTCTCGTGTTGACTTGCATTCCTTCTGTCGCTGAAGAGTCTTTTTTGTAGACGGAAAATGTATTGCCACTGAAATTGTACGGCTCTGATTCTACGTACATTGCTGGTAGAAACTACAATACGGAAAAAAATGATTTCAAAAATACATTTATTAATTATTTAATCGAGTAAACAAACGGGTTGTTTCTCAAGTTTAATGTACGCCGCAAGACTTAGAGACACGGCTGTAGTTCAGGTGTAATAGCGTTACTTCGATGTAACTTCGTGAGCTTTTAATGATCTGCTGATAATTTTCCGCCAAGGAAACCTGTTATAACGCAGATCAAACGAGACATTTTCCCAACATTATCTTCACCTTTAAAACCCAAACTTTATCCGCTCGACATCTGGAGATGATTCCTAAAAAAAACTGTAGCATTTCTCAATTTCCTAATATATACCTTTGAATAAACCTACTATACCACCATCGCATTATATATTTAGCGAGTTCTGCTCGTTAAATTACATTGAACTTGATATGAGACGGGTTCTGATAAGCGTACTCAAGACTAGATGCATAAGATTTTATTACGTTAAAATTTTTATATTTTACCTGGACTGAAAATCTGTTGGATCACCATTTGAAGTCTCCTGTGCTACGGAAATTTTCATACATCAAGTTTGACAGGATACTTTGATGTCGTCCGGCGACAAAAGGCCGCGTCAACTTTACTTAATCAATTTAGAAATTTGTAACACTTTCTAGAGCACTTCACAGTCTGATTTTTGACCACGCCAAGGATTTTAGGAGATCTTACTAAAGTTAAGTGACTTAACCAAACTTTTTCTGTGATAAATAACCGGCGATTTTTCAAGCTCGTCAGCTTGTAACCCTCAAAATTGTCTCACATGAAATCAGCCAGTTATCACTCGTAAATGCATAAAATTCAAAATTCTCTATTTAAAATTAGTTTTACATCGTGGAGCCGACGACACAAAAGATGGGATGGGAACAATTAATAGCAAGTTCATTTTTCCCAATACAGTTACAGTGGTCACGTTGTAATTACAGCTCTAAACACCCATGATTTTTTTAACTGTGAAACCAGGTATTGAGTAGAAAAATAGCACCAGGAAAGCAGCCAGCGCCAGCACGAGTAACATCTTGAGTATTAGCCACTTGTAGTTGTGCCAGATGATGTAGCGGATGCTCTTCAGTGGGTTCAGGAACCACATGAACGAGGCGTCCGGACGACTGCAATATTATAAAATTGCCAATGATTTTTAAAGTTCAAAACAATGGCAGCTGAGCAACAATTTTTAAATCATCCTTCATGAGTCATTCATATAAGTGACTAAGCATAACATATAAGCGACCAAGCATAATTGAATGGGAACAATTTTTTTTATTTCTAATAGAAAGCAGGAAAAATATTAATAACGGAAAAGAAATAATATACGTTTAAAAATTACTTTTTAAAGATAAAACTTCCAAAGAATCCAGTGTCTCCAATCTTACAGATGTAAAATGAATTTCTCATTTAATTTTCGGATATTAAAAAAATTAATTTTGCATTTTTTTTCATATATAAAATTTTTTTAATATATAATTTTTTTCAAATTAGTTATTCTGTTAATTGATTCATGCATTACCTCTGATTTCACACAAGTGTGAAAAATTTCATATCAATTAGACAGGTAAAAGTGTGTCAAATATCAGTTATAAGATTTGTAGCTGACAAAATTATTTTTTCCATTTTCTAATATTGAAAAAAAAAAATTAATTTTTAAAATCATTTATTTTGACATTTGATTCATGCATTGTCTCCAACTTTACACATGTGTGCTAAATTTCAGATCAATGGGATAAGTAGAAGTATATTAAATTTCGATTACAAAATTTGTAGCAGACAAACAAACAAACAAACAACAAGAAGTGAAGTTAAAGAGAAGTGTTGTAAAAGGGAAAGTCTACCTGGCATGAATTAATTATTGGTCCACGACAACTGCTTAAAAACTTCAGATTGGCAAAAATATTTCGAATATACAAAAACTTTCTATAACTTGATATTATAATTTGGTGGAATATTTCAATCACTAAAATATTCATGATTCACAGTTTAACTAAGAAATTAAGAAGCCCTCTAATGGCTGAAAGTTGACCAAATTTTATTCTCTTGTATGATAAAATTTGTGATGAAAAACTTCAAAATCTGAGCAACAAATTACCGCTATATGGTCACAGAAACTAATATTTGACGAATGAAGTAAATACACAATATTATTTCTGGTAATCCACTAAGAAATACGAATTTGTGGAAGTTGAAAGTCAGGTGAGACATGATTAAATTGAATGAAACATTTGAATAATTATATAGAATAAGAGAATAAGTCTTACTTGGGTTTCTCCAGAGGGTCTGGCTCGTTGCGGCCTAAGCCAGCGGGAATTTTCTCAGCCTCGTCTCTGGTGAGCAGCTGAATCTCTGCTTCAACTTTTCCCTGAAAATAAATGTTAATTTTTTTGCCATTTAGCAGGATTGGTATTCTACTGCTTGCTTTGAACTATTCTTCAATAAAATGACCTCCAAAATAATGAAATTTATTAAAGAATTTAATAAATAGATTTAAAATAAAATATGGAAGCTTGAGTTGTTTAATATTTCTCGTATGACCTGGCACTAATTTCCTTCCGTTGAAAAAATATATGCCTTGTTCGAATAAAATTTCAAAGGATACTCGGCAGAAGTCTTTCAACATATTCTAGTATTTTCATTTCATACAAAATTTCACCCTATTCTGAAATAGCAGCTAACGATCAAAATTCTTCTTGAATGCGAATATTTTCCTTAAGTCAGTTTCTCCTCAATGCTTTTATAGCGCGCCTGTTATCTGGATTACGATAAATTTGACCAAATCCTATCATATGGCTATCATTACGAACGTATGTGGTCCATGTTAAAGCCGATAAAATTTCTTCGATGAAAAATTAGAATCACAACCATATCTGGCTTTAAAGATACAGTAATTAGTCAGCGGTGGACAGACATTTGTGATATAATTCTTACAGTGAGTTCCATTTCCTCGTTCTCCTTCTTGATGTAGAATGGCCACCATCCCTTAACTCTTCGCTGCTTGAAGATGCTGATCATAGGGACGGAGCCGTCAGTCTTAAGCATGCTTAGCGTGCATTGCTTAGAACTCTTAGCACCTCGTGGGAAACGGTTCAGGTCCAGCGTAATCGCCCCTAAGAAGTCGTCTGCTGAGAAATGATCTGCATCCCAAACCTGTGCAGTAGATTATATTTTCTGAGTAATAAGCACAAATTATAAATCGTTCAGCTCCTGAATGAGTTCCGATATTAATTTATAATTTTTTCATAAGGGAGAATTTCCCAGCTTGCTCTGCGTTGCCTTGGGGAATAAAGCAATAACTGTTATCCAATATATTTCAATCGACATTTTTCAGTCCACCCGACCAAATGATGCTTTGGCGCACGATAACTTCATCACAAAGTAACGAATATGGGGCAAATGTCTTAAATCAATACTCGAATTAAGGAAGTACACATGAGAACACAGAGAAATTCTAATCTGTCGTCAAAATCACCATGGGAGAACTCACAGGAGAAAAAATAGGAAAGAGAGCCATAACGAACAGGAATATCATTTGTTGATGCCACTAAAACAACAGCATTTTCATAGTGTAGGCGATCGCCTCTGCTAGCAGAGGCTGGACATAGGCTATGCATGTCCTGTGTGTAGTAGTCCTTGCTATAAGCAAAGACAGTCTTTTTTGCGTTTTTTTATGTCTGGTCATGAAGTATTTACAATAATGCTGCAACAAAATTGTTAACTATCAAAATACCTGAAGTTCAAGTCTGGCAGGAATTTTGCACTCAGTTTCATCCAAAGAGAAGAATGTTTCTTTCCTGCTGATGACAATTTTTTCTTCTGCCACTAGATAGTCGAAGGGGAAGATGAAGCGCCAGTTGAAGTTGCCCTCGCCGGTCAGGGAGCGGTAGTGAATATCCGTGCACTGCGCGTCCTCGGTGCCTCTCAGCCACCTGAGGGAAAAACGTGAAAAGAACATATCAGTTCTGTGTAGTGTTGAAGTTTATAAACCATCTCTGAACCCTAATATACAAGCGGAAACTAATCTACAGGATGGCAACGCGTCGCATTAGTATGCATTTTATTTTCGTCAAGCGTAGACCACCAAAACCCTATTCTCCGCGGCCAGAACATAATATACGTTCTGGGTAACCTTGTGTTACACTATAACCAGCGTCGCTCTGTCGGATTACTTGTAAAAACAAAAGGCGTGTACAGCACACGGAACAATTGAATATCCCGGAAAAGTATGAGTAAAATTCATAATTTAAGTTGACCTTGACATCTTCAAATAGAAAGTAAAACCAAAATATTATTCATGAGAGAAAACCTGAAAACGACAATAGGCTCATTCCTGGAACAATCGAATGAATTGTGAATTCGAATAACTTATGAAAATTATGAATTAATGGACAATATTGCTAAGCCAATAATTGCTCGAAATTATTCACGTATTGAGTGAATTTTGCACTCTGAACATTGAACATGATTCTATATTCGGTGCTAAACAATTGAGAACATTGCCTCTCATAATTTCCAAACTTCTACATTACGAAGCTAACGAAGTTCTGCTCAAAGGAAGAGAAATCGTTTTTCTCTGAACCTTGAGCAGCAATTGTGCTTCTGAGTCCAATTGATTTTAATTCTAGAACACTAATCTCACCCTTTAACGTAAATGTCGGACATTTTTTCGCCGGTAAAGAAGGCGTCGTCCTCCAGAACAACGTCGTCCGTGTTCCAGACGATGAGGCGAAGCTCGTAGCTTTTGGGCTTCCTCGGCGTGATGTCGATGGGCGGTCCGGGGAGAGGCATGTCCATCGGGAACATGTCCACCCACATCTCCAGCTTTCCCTGTAACAAGTATTACAATAAAAATATAACTCAGTACTCACTGCAGTGAGTGACAGAGAGCGCATTTTCTCGTCAACGAAAACGTGGTCACGGACGGAGAGACAGACGGATAGACAGATGGACATGGCGAGCACAATAGTGCATTTTTTCCATAAATGAGAAAATGCGCTAAAAACATCATATTGAGAAATTTTTTACGTGAAAGTCGTTCTAGTACAATCAGAATATAATATTGGAAAATATAGAAGTCGTTCACGTAAAATAATTGAGTTGAATGGTCCAAAATTGATGTCCAAAATATTTATTTGATCTTTTATAAAAGAATTATTCTTAGTTCATTTTGATTCATAAGTTAGAGAAATCATTTTATGTATAAATGTAAATTATCTTTCTCAGTCGTTGAAATTTTTCCTTTACAACGCTCGCGGAAATAGCAAAGAATAAATTCGTTATTTACACAATTCTATCACAATTACAAATCCGGTCATCGGCTCCTTGATATTGAGCTTCACACCTGAAGCTGCTTTCCCATTTGTGTTAATGAGAACCTGACAATTTTCAGACCAGCAGCAACTTTTTGACTTGCTACTTTATGAATTTAATTAATGTAAACCGTCGAAAACAATTTTTTAGACTTAAAAAAAATTAATTCGGTTCTGAAATCGGGCTTCAGACCTGCCCAATGTCAGGTTTGTCTGGGTTGTAAACAACCTTCTAACTTGATACTTTATGAATCTGATTAATTTAAACCGTCTAAAGCAGTTTTTTAGAAGCGACAAATTAAATTCGGTTCTGAAATTAGATTCAGACCTGCTCAATGCCAGGTTTGTCGGGGTTGTAGAGTATCCTGGTCTCGATGTGCTCCGGCACCAGACGACACCCAACCTTTGGCACTTCTTCCCATCTGTGCAGCACCGCCAGTGCCAGCTGCTCCTCAGAAACTGTACAAATAACGATAACTATAAAATATTTTACAGAAAAGCTTCAGGAAATAATTGAATTACAAACTGATGTTTTGCTAAAGCGATATATAATTATTCATCGAAATGCAAATTGTCTAGATTTATTGCATAATTTCAATAAAATTAAGGTGATAAATTTAATTCTTGTAATGGGACCCAAATGAATTCAGAAATCTACTGTTTTCTGAAAGCATAATTCGAACATATATAGAGAAAAGAAGTTAGTGAAGGAAGTTGTTTAGTTTAGTGATAATTTTTCCATCAGGAATTGAATTCATTTAAAAAATTACGTACCTGATGAAGTGGCAGAAATGAAAAACACGCCAATCAGTAAAAAGTATAACTCAGTACTCACTGCAGTGAGTGACAGAGAGCGCATTTTTTCGTCGACGAAAACGTGATGTCACGGACGGACAGACAAACGGACAGACGGACGGACATGGTGAGCACAATGGTGTTTTTTACCAAAAATGAGAAAATTCGCTAAAAATATTCAGCTAAAAAATTTTCCGTTGAAAATTCACGATTGGACATCACTTAAGTTTAGTTATCATAATAAGAGGAACTTATACGTTCCGCGTAGACGAGAAAAATTATTAATTAGAATCTATTTCTGTCGGGTTAACATTTGCTTAATTCATGTAACATAATATGACCGGAATTATTTATATTAATCACTATATTTATATTAATCCCGTACATGTTCAGGATTTGTGGCACCCGAGGTTTATTGTTCATTTCGTCAAATTATCTTTACAAATCTCTTGGTATTTCTCAAGTAAAGCGATGTTGAGCAATGGTTGAACCATTGAGGTCCAAATAAACTGGGTCAAGCACTCTAAATATATTCCCAGTGATGAGTAAAATATTCAGAAAGATAGCGAAGCTTCAGCCAAACTCCTTTGGAAACCATACAAGCTACAGGTTAATTAACTAATTTGTTTCGATTAATTTCCAATCATTGGAAGAGAAATTAAGTGTAAATTTTCATACCAGAGCTGCGATTTGAGATGATTGCGTGATCCCACACAAACACGTAAAGCAAATATATATATCCTTAAGAAATAAATTGTTTCTCATCCATGTGTCTGAACCCTATGTCCTTATCAATCTAAAGCAGAAATCATGGTTTTGAAATTTCTAACAAAAGTAGAAATTCCAACACTAATCCGATATTTATATGCAGAGCGTCAAAATTTCAATGACAAATTTAGTAGTCAGATGTGACAGCCTAATAAATAAGAAGGAAATAACTCTCATTCAACTCATGAATTTATATCGCTTATGCGATCAAATCTGATTTTTCATTGCAATTCCCAGTGACAGTAACGACTACTATGCAACATCATTGTCCAAATTGTGAGCTTGTCTTGATAGTAACAGATCAATTATCATTCTCAATTATCAATCCTTAATCATCATTACCATACATCTGATTTATAATATCCTGTCATTCTTAATGTTTTTCCTTTCTAATTCAAGAAATCAAGCGATCAGTATAAGCACTTTTTAACTCACAGCTCGTAACGCTTCTGCAGGCCGCAGGTCGCGCGGTGTCTCGAGTAGAACCTGTTCTCCAAGTCAATTCTGGTCTCACCGATGATGTCGTCTGAACCAACCAAGTCCCAGTCCAGAATATTTATGGTAAGCATCGAGTCTTGGGGAAAAGTGGCTTCCACTTCAAAGCATCTGAATACACACAAATCAATGTTATGTTTTTAAGTTTTTAAATTCCGGGTTGAATTGACTTCGATCATGATTTCTTGCATACATTGCTGCATATCAATATATAATCAATCATGATGTGATATTAGGAAAGTTATTGTATATTTTGAATGGTACATTCTATGGTATTTCTTTACTCAGTCGTGAAACGACTGAGTCTCTGACAAATGGCTGAGTACTATTTATCTGATAAAGTCAAAAACTTGTATAAAATTTCTACCATGATGAAGAGTATGCACGCATTTCCGGCTCAGTATTGCAACAGCAACATATTCAATGAGTGTAATTCAACTCTCATTACAGACCCTCGTATGCTTTCGCTCACCACGATAACAGCTTTGCATCTTTATATATATTTTAGCTTGATAAAATTTGAACGATAAAGGCGTTGATTTTTGTTAATCGGCGACATACTGGCGTCAAGAAACTATAAATTGACTCATTTAGGTTCACTCATTTCGGAGAATCGGTGTAAATAACTTCATTAAATGTACACAACACGTCATTATTGGCAATAAATGTATACGCTGAGAAACACTCGTGCCTAGGTTTTGCCACTCTATTGACTCACTTCCCGAAGACAGGATTGAGCTGCTTTGAAATGTAATTCTCTTTGTCAGAGATCTTCTTGCTTCCCAACTGCACGACGATGTACGGGTCAGCCTTGCCGTTGAGGTCCATAGGATGCAAATCGAGAGCTTTGACGATGTAGACTCGAACCAGCACGTGGATAGGCTCGTTCGACGGTAAGCCCTGCTCGACAAATGTTAGGTAAGAGAAATAAAATAATCAAAGTTGCGAAAAGGGCGAAGAATTTTGTTCCTATGGATAAATAAAACGGGCTCGATCGACGGATTTTTTTCCGGGATATCCGCCATAATAGCAATCGTTAAGCAATCAATGATACTTTAGTCAGCTGTTAACCTGCTTCTAAATGATTCATTAATTTTACTACATTTATTCTGTTGTAAACATTGACAGTGAAACAGAAATCCACAAATATTTTCAATATATCAGTCATATTCCTTGTTTACAGGATTGTTAGGAGTAATTAAGGATCACTTGCTCGCTATGCGAACTTAATTAAAACATTATTTGTTATGAAATCGCACAATTATTGTTATATTTAGTATAATCATTTATTCTCCAAGCAACAATAATTGATGAAGATTTTTTCAGCCGAACAAATTGAGTGATTAATTCGAACACAATTCTACGGGCAGCTTCCATATATATATGGGTTGGGAACCAAAAGGTGACAGTGAATATGGCGGTAATAGCTGCTAGAGAAATAATGGTGATTAGCTGGGCAGACATCAAATATATCGGTAGTCTGAATATTTCTTCAGTATTATAGCATGCGCCACATCAATAGCTAACTCAAATTTACATTGATTATTTGTTTGCCATAAATATGTTCGTTGAAGACATTGAGTTGAGTGGAATTAAGTAAAAATTTGCATGACTACATGCAACGTATTCATGACAGCGTAATTACATGCAAGTTCCACATCCATATCAACATCTACACATTTAATGACTCGCTGAAAAAATTAGCAATGATATCAAAATGAAAGAACATTAAAAATGACAACAAATTTTTGAAAGCCTAAATAATGTATCAATAGAAAAAAATTACTTTCGTTGTCAATCAAAGCACGAGGTAAAACAGAATAAATTGCACATTTATCCGATAAGAAAGAATCCAGGAAATGCAAGTAATATTTTGGACAAAAATTCATGTAATGCTTAAATAAGACTCAAATCAGCGCTCATATATTGCACAATTGCAAACATATTTGAACTCTCTGAGCAAGAGAGTTTATATGTGTCCCAGGACATACTGTATGATCGATATCGTTCGCTATACAAGCGTTTATCAATCAATTTATATTATTGAACTATTTTTAGCACATTTTCTCATTTATGGAAGAAATGCACTATTGTGCTCGCCATGTCCGTCTGTCCGTCCGTCCGTGACCTCAAGTTTTCGTCGACGNGTAATATTTGGACAAAAATTCATGTAATGCTTAAATAAGACTCAAATCAGCACTCATATATTACACTCTTGCAAACATATTTTATCAATCAATTTAAAATATTGAATTATTTTTATTTATATGATATATGCTGCGGTCATATTGACTGTACTCTAGCTTGCACCCCTTAGCATGGGAATAAGAATTGCACTAATAAAATCATCCATAATTTACAGTCTCATCCAGGAAATGATTGGAAAAGGTTCTGGAGCCTGGTTCGAAATTTAGTCCGATATTCCAGCCTATAAAACGAAATCAGTGCTTCTCTCAAGTAGATTCAAATAATATAATACGTATTAATATGATAATATAATATTTCATTTAAAATTAATTAGTTGCAGGAAATGATGTGTAGCACAATGTAACATCGACGGATCGTAATATTCATTGAAGGGAACACTAATGATGCCTTATAACTTCCCTGCATGTGCTGTCTTGACAGTCCCAAAAGTTACCGATTATTTTGAGATTTTTTGCGCATTTTCTCATTTATGGAAAAAAGGCGCTATATATTGTGCTCTTCATGTCCGTCTGTCTGTCTGCTCGTCCGTCCGTGACTTCACGTTTTCGTCGACGAGAAAATGCGCTCTCTGTCACCCACTGCAGTGAGTATTGAGTTATATTTTTTATATATATGCTAGAAAAATCCTTCGCATATCTCGTTGATATGAAAGTAATAAGCATAATTGGTTATAAACAAGCAAACATTAAACATGAACCGCAGACAATTTTTATAGTATGAGCCAAGGAATATTTAAAGTAATTTAAAAAGAAAATTTTAGCTTGGTTGAAGGATGCCATTCAGAGGATTTTTATCGAGAAAAAAAATATTATATAATCTGTTACAGCTCATGTTTGGTTCAGGTATAAAACACTCTTTGCATTCAATAGGCAGCCAACATCACCGTTATAGAAATTATAATGCATATATACCACAACAGTGGCCGTAAAGGTTAACATATTTTGTTCCAGTAAATTTTGAGAGTTTTTTCAATTATATGTGTACAGAAATCTTTTGATAATATATTTATTTCTGGTTAATCAGTCATCTATTACTGCAAAATTCAGTAGATTTCTATCATCGCGGTATTCGTGCACTCAGCGATACGTTTAAATTTATAGCTACTCTTTTTAGAAACATTTTCAAATTTTCTACAAGTATCGAACGTAAAGTTTTATTTCTTTCGAGCATAGATCTCTTGTTCCCCCCAAAATTTTGATGCTGCCCGAATCCGAAATAGTAATAGAACGTAATTCGGACTCCTGAAGTACGTAAATCAGCCGCTCTCTATCCACCTCGGCTCAGGGTTTGAAAGGCATTTTCTGGGCAGCTTATAAGCTCGGCATGAAAAGGTTCGGCCGAGCCTTCTTATACTCTCTGGTGATAATAAGGTACTCCCATCATGATTTAATCTTGAAGGCATTTTCAAATATAAGGGACTCCTGAAGTACGTAAATCAGCCGCTCTCTATCCACCTCGGCTCAGGGTTTGAAAGGCATTTTCTGGGCAGCTTACAAGCTCGGCATGAAAAGGTTCGGCCGAGCCTTCTTATACTCTCTGGTGATAATAAGGTACTCCCATCATGATTTAATCTTGAAGGCATTTTCAAATATAAGGGAAACTTAAACATATTATAAAGTCAGAAAAAAGATTCTGATCAGAGGGGGGTTTCTATTGGGAGGCCAAGCAGACCGAGAATGACGGTAAGCCGAGTTTAGCGACTCTTGGGCGGAAGTCTAAGCAGTACCCGAATTTTGCTGAAATTTCTAAAATTATCCGTAAAATTTTCCGCTATCTGATCCACGCTAAAAATTACTGCACATATCTATGACTGTACGAGAAACTTAATAATAACGAAATATTAGCATATTCAAAGCTAGGAAACATTATCTATCACATTTCTGAACTGATCATGTCGCAGAGAATTAAATGTGGAATCTTTAATTCTAACTATATTCCGAGCATTATGTGACTGAGAGTTAAACAAGCATATCACGCCGATGAATATACGAGTACCTGTCATGAGAGTCCCGGCCAGATGAAGAATAGCATCAACATTAACACTGACTGAGAAAGCTTTATGGAAGCATTCTAGCAAAAAGAGTCAAATCCCAAACTATTGGGTCAAGGTAAATTGGTGGTGTTGTACGATAATAAATGTTGGTTACGCGTCTGCCAATGTGACAAGATTAAATCGAACAACGGTTCATTATTGGCTGGGGATTTGCTGGGCTTTCCTCCTGTACGAGACTCGTTTATACGTAGTGGAGCAAGTCAGTAAAGCCATGCTTTCGTATTGGAAATTATATAGGCGAAATCTCTGTAAAGTTTCCCTCTAAAATAAAAACCTTGCGCTTATCGTTCAATCTTAATTTAAATAATGAAGATATGTTTCATGCAAAAATCTAACATAATCTCAAAATAATTTCAGAAGCATAAGTGAAAAATTCGTTTTATCAGAGCATCGGTCACGTCTCTCTCTCGAATCCATTAACTAATAAATGTGATTTTAACCAAACATAGATGAGTTTGATAAAAAAGTATGAATAGGGGCTATAATTGCCACTACATTCAAAATCATTTGCCATATTCTGAGAAAACGTCAACAAATATATCTATTCTGAAGTATAATGTTTCATACCTCATATGGATATAAAACTGTTATGGATAAATTATGGATTACGGATTAATTACTTTCATCAATTACTTTCATCAATTAATTACATACATCAATCGACGAAATAATTATTTATAGCTGATATTGAAAGAATCTGATATGCGTACGTAGTGTCTTCTTGGAAGAGATCTTGGCTGATAGATATTTTTACTTCAGAGGAGACTAGCAGTTCGTGAGGGACATTTTAAGCTATAAAGAAGCATTCATGGTTACAGATCTATTCAGGTAAAAAATGAAGTCGTTTGAGAATTATTATAGATTCTCCTTGAAATACTTCACTTCGACACGCAAGGAGTTATCACTTTTTTCCCGTATCTAATTTGAAATAATTGGAGATATGATCAATTGGGACTCAGAAGCCAATAAGATGGGAGTTCTAGGTAGGATTAGCATAGATGAACAAGCAAAGCAAATACGTTCTACCACAGCAAGAAGAAATAAGACAAATAACCTGAGACTCCAGAAGAGTGAGTGCACCTCCCTGTGAAGAGCAGGCAACCACGTGAAAAGAAAGATCAGGGTACCGCAAACCATCAATAATTCGCGTTCAGTTTCATCTCAGACTTATTTACGAAATCTTCTTACTGGTTAATTTTAGCACCTCATTGGTACTAGGCACCAAATTTGCACATTGGAAAAATCTAATTGAATGGCCTGTGTTTAAAAAGGTTTATTGAAGTTTATTGTTGAACGGCTTCTGAGGTGTGAAAAGAGTGAAGGTCAAAAACCGTTGATCTCAACAGCTTTTTTCAGCCTAACATTCTCACCAACACATATTTTTTCTTCAATCTCTCTATAAAAACTTTGAAGAACCATTCTATTAGTGAACTGATGATAAAATTCAAGCAGGATGAAAAAAAGGTACAAGAATATTTGAAAATGACGGCGAAAAATACAACAAGATGTGAAGAAATTGGATCAGAAAGAAACATTTATACTAATAAGATTCATTCACAGGGTATTATGAAACCTGTAAGAAAGGTGAATAACTCAACAATGAAAGGTCACCTGGAAGAAACCCTGGCGTGGATCGCCTCCCATGATGGAGGTGTCTTGTAGGTCTTTGGGTAGTGGCCATCGGTACAGCTTCAGTGACCCCTGGTCGATGTAATGCAATATTTCAATTTATGAAACACGCATGAACTTGTAATTCTTGCTAGAAAGTGAAAACGTTTATCATCAGAAAAAAAGGTGTCGCGACTTTGAAACAATGCATATTTTTGGTTAATACAGTAATAATTGGAAATTTGTCCTTGCAAATTTGTCTGGGCTCTGTAAATTCGACCCGTTTTCCCAGAGCCCAGTAGAAATTTTTTGTTTTTCAATCCGCTCTTTATAATTTCTAAGATTGTTTAAATTTGTATGAAATTGTTCCGTGAAATAATATCATGTTATAAGACGCTATCTCTTGAAACTGTCACATCATAGACCAAGGCATAGTGCAGAGACAAAAATAACTGCTCGAGATACGGCTTCAAATGACCGCTGGTAATATAATACTATACATTCATGATACAGAAAACAATAACAATGCGCTATCTTAATAACCACCTGAATTATCTTTTGAAAATATTTCCCTTCGTTACAGTTTTTTCACCGTTAGTGTCAGCACATGCAAAGTTACGCTATAAAATTTTGCAACCGTGACTCCGAGAAGTCGCTGAAGTTACTTTCAACTGAAAATTATATTTCTTATTGCCTGAGTAAAATTATTTTGCCAGTTGCCTGAGTTCTAACTTAAAATTGAAATGCCGAATGTATGATCACCTGGTTTTCCTGCATAGAAAATAAGAACAGTCATGAGTCTCCTAAATCGATCACGCCAATTCAACAGCTCCACTCGTTCAATTATTACAATGCCAAATGCGGAGGATAATCACTGCTAACTTCCTTTAACTACACGTGATTAAATTGTTAGATTAAAATATAAACTGTTCAGTGAAGTGATACATTCTCTTATCGAAACTATGTTCAGTCAATTGAGAAACAAATCAATTTCTTAGCTTCGAGGCGACCAATCTCATGAAGGATAACAAATTGTATGAATTTACTTTGAATTTCCCGACGACCCTTGACTCGTCCTCGACCTCGTCGCCAGTCTTCTTGCCGCGGTAGAGCTCGAAGGTGTGAAGCCACTCGCGGAACCCGGAGAACTCTGCCTCCAGTTCCCCGGCCAAAACCTGCGAAATCTTATACATCAATGNTTGCTCTATAGTCAATACAACATATACATCATTGCTCTATTGCTCTATACATCATATACATCAATGCTCTGTTGCTCTATACATCATATACATCAATGCTCTATTGCTCTATAGTCAATACAACATATACATCATTGCTCTATTGCTCTATACATCAAATACATCAATGCTCTGTTGCTCTATACATCATATACATCAATGCTCTCAACACCAGCGAAATCAATTATTTCAATGTACTATTCATTCCACAATATTAATTGTACAGCTGATATGCCTCGCCGACGGCAAATTTCGACTGTAAGAACGTTTAGTCCATAGCTTAACATTAGAGCATGAGGTGGTTAAAAATGAAAACGATTAATATGTTTTTGGCTGAAGAAACTATTAATATGGGGTTGGGTGCTTAGAACTCATCCTATAACGCAATCTCCTAAGCCACGGATAATCGGGTATGCTTTAGATAAAGTAGCACAACCGGCAAACCAATAGATGCCTATATAATCATTAAATTTTTTAATTCCAAATGAATTTTAATCTATTTCTTCTTCATTCAGAACAGACAAGATTAGAAATTTCTAACAAAGAATAATACCGAGGTAACTAAGTTATTAATACCTATACTTTCATGATAGCCAGTATTGGCTATGAAGGCAAGCTGATTAGTGCAATGCTGCAATTATTCTGCAATGCTGATTAGTGAAATGAGCTTCCTGATATTTTATTCAGAACAATCCCAATTCGGTTACTTCAAACCGCTTATTTTACTGATTGCATTACTCGTCAGCATTTTTTAATCAAGACTTAATATCATCTTGAAAACTTTTGATTACAAGAGTTCGTGGATTTTATGGTTTGCAGTGTGGCATTGCGCTTAGTTTAAAAAAAATTATATGTTAATCCAATACAACGTTGCATCGACTGTTTCTAAGCAGCTTTGGTGTTAATTAAAATACCGTCTTTTAATTTCCTTGATGCATGTGCATTACCTCAGTACCAGCAGGACAAATTAAAACTTGTGCCAAACATCAATTAAGTCTTCTATTGATGTCTAGAATGGCTTCTAACATCAATTAAGCCTTTCATTAATTGAGCCATTTGCGCCAGTATTCATTTATTGATTGAATCTTTCAACAGTCCAAAGACCTTACGAACCATCACCAGGCTGTTCTCTTAAATCTAACAGACTCTTTATGTGCGATGCTCAAACAGTCATATACTTTTACCAAAAGCATCGCTGCCTATCAATATTAAAAGGCTTAGTCTCTGTTTATGATTTGTCATATGAGATAATTCACATAATACCGTTTTTACACTATTTACTAGACGGGATCAGCTTTCAATGTAAAGTCAAAGTTGACTATGAATTAATCCTACGCATTAAAAATGACAGTAACATTGGGAGGCATGTGTCGTTTCGCGTTTTTCTATAAAATATCATCCAATGATAAAAAATCGAAGTCTGACCTTAGTGCAGGCGATGTTTTTGATCTGCTTCCTCCTGTGGGCTTTAGGGCTGAGTTTATGAGCCAGTTTGGCGGCGCTGAGAGACCCGCCCTTGCCGCTATGTGTCTTGCGGTAGCTGTGGCTGTGATGGTCGCCGCCGCGCTCCGAGTGATACGCTAGGCGGGAGTCCGTGGTGGCCGCTCCTGCGACGACGCTGTGGTAGTGTGAACCGGACTGGTTGAGTTCCTCAAGCCGGCGCTCCGCTTGTTCTTCGATGTGTTTCTCTGCTTCCTGCGTTCAAATTACAAACGTGATTCTAGGAGACGAATGCAAAATTAACTTGATAGATATACTAGTTATTGACCAAAAGTCAAAGCTTGATAGTTCAGATTGAGTCATAAGACAAAGCTGTTAAAAATAAAATTTAGTCGACCAACGACAAAAACATTTAATTATACGTTCGCTAAGTTTCAAAATGGTACGGAAACAATATGCATGCATAGAATGGTACGGAAACAATAATCCAGCAATAGAGATGGCTGTTTATATTTTAAAGAGTAAGGATTTAACCTTAAATCCAGCGGTTTTTCTAGTATCTTGTACAAAACTGCACACTTAATTCTAACTGCTTGTCTTCTGCACCTCCACTAAAACGTAAAATAAAATTACGGTTTACACATACAAATGATAAATACATCACAAAAATTCAAAATAATCATATCAGCTCCTCCAGAGCCGCGAAAAGTAAGTATTTGCATCGCATCCCTCTAACCATTCGTAGTATTAAAATATCAAATTATTATACAATATTAGGGAAAATATTTTGTATTAGGGGAAGATATTCGGAAATAGCACGATAAATAATCGTGAAAGTCGTGAGAAATTGTAACCTGAGCAGCGGCATCGAGGGAGGCGAAATATTTGGTCCACCAGTCCCTGTTCTCCTCATCATCTTCGTCGACGTCGAGGCTGAGTTGCTTCTTCTTGTTCGCTTCCGTCTTCTCTTTCTTACTGATGCTTCCTCTCATCAGGCTGTTCGTTCCGGGCTGAGACTGAGCGAAACACGAAAATTTGGGGCATAGAAAAAATAAAACACTTGTATGTCACTTCAGTTGCTAAGAAGAAAACTAGTATGTCTCTTCTGTCGATAAGAAGAAAACTAGTATGTCTCTTCAGTCGATAAGAAGAAAACTAGTATGTCTCTTCAATCGATATGGAGAAAATTAGTTAGTTACATCAGTCGATAAGAAGAAAAGTAGTATGTCACTTCAGTTAATACGGAGAAAATTAGTTAATTACACCAGTCGAAAAGGAGAATGGTATATGGTCACTTCAGTCCAGACAACAAAATTTTTAACTTCACTTTACTGTATTCAAGCTTACTTTCAGGTTCACTAATGGGATCGAATGAATGACGTGCTCGAGAAACAATGGTTTTCTTTTTACTGGATAATCCCTCATTCCGTAAGACTGATATGCACTGTGAATTTGCTCTTAGCAAATAACTTTCGTTAGTAAATCAAAGTTTAAGTGTTTTTGCTTCGTGATGTCTAAACCTTGTCATTTTTTTTATTCCAGAATAAAGATGACGTGTAGTACTCGAACATTTTATTAAAATACGTAAACAATCCAAGCCATTGAAAATTAATGCAACAATCCAAGCCAACCTTCTTCCGAAAGCGTGAACTTGTATGATTTATTGCCTTGTGGAATAATGCATTGAAGGAAATCCATAAGCAAAGAAATTTTTAAGGAAATTCGAGAAATTTTCATTAAATACGTATCATATTCGTATACCGTTTTGAATGTAACTGATTGGTGCGACAAATTTACCAAGAAAACAGCAAAACCTAATTTAGATGGTGTTAGAAATCATGATATGTAAAAACTAAGCTGCTAGTATTTACAATTTAAAACGAAATATGAACGGTGTATAAACAATGGCGAACTGTACCAGTGATTCCAGGATCCAAGCTCCAAGCCGGAATCACCGGACGAGTCTGATTACCGTCTGTCCTACTAATCTGCTTGAAATGGTTACAAGATCGACTTCTCCTGTTGCTTTGCTTTCGAATTGTCTAACCGGTCATAATTTATCTGTAAGTGTAATTTTAACAATTGGTAGATTCGAATTATTGAATTTAAAACTCATTTTTGAGCAGGTGTACGAAACATTCCATATAAAAATTTGGTGACTTTTTAGAGGGCGTTTAGATTCCTGAGTAATTTCAATTAAGTTTATTAGGCCATATCCCTCCTAGTATATAGAAGGCAGTAATAGTCTTAACTCATGAATTGTTCCATTGAACCGAGTTATGCATCACATTATTATATTCTGCGGGAATAGTCTCACGTAGTCAATGGTGATGATGGTTTCTTTATCCAGAAGCGGAGAGGTTTCGGTGAGTCCTGCGTTATGTACGAACTCACAGGGCAATGTTCCCGACTTTCCCCTCACGATTTTGACAAAAGGCTTTCCCTTTGCACTTAACTCGACGTTGTTGGGTAGACTTTCACAGCCCTCTGCGAAGAATTTCAAAGTCAGTATAACAACAACGGCAGATATCAAAATACAGTGTATGTATATTCGCGATACCATCAGAAGTTCATATGATTATTGCACACAAAATTATTGCAAGAACCGAAGTTAGAAGTTCATCACAGGAGAAAATGTTTTTGAAAAATTTATAATTTTGTAATATTGCACGCTAAATGCTGGTTCATTTATGCAAGAATGTGTGATCTGACAGCGAGCTTAGAGCTGGAGGGAGAGATAACGAAACTGAAATCAGATGCGATGTGCTTCATCAGTTATATCTTCGATATCTCGGTATGTATTTTCAAAAATAAATATTGTAAGTTTTCTTCGTCAAAAATGAATGTAGTCTGACGGCAGCCGAACATTGTTATAATTATTTCGAGTAAAATGTTTCTTATTGGGCACAGAGAGATCCATATAGATTTATACTATCATAAGCCACACAATTCATTTAATTTTTAAACGTTTATTAAGAGTGTAGGTTTTAAGATAAAAATGTACTAGATCGCTATAATTTATTATTTCAATTGCCATTTAAGTGGGATACTCCCTATGCACTTTGGGAGTGTGTGTCATTTCCCAGCAATGGCATACATTTTACAAAATATTTTGCCAACGCGGTCGAAATTCTTTCGATTCTGCAACAAGCGAAAATGCATCCAGAAACACTTAAGGTTTCGATGTTGGTTCACTGATTGGTTTATGCTTCGATTCTGCAACAAGCGAAAATGCATCCAGAAACACTTAAGGTTTCGATGTTGGTTCACTGATTGGTTTATGCTTCGATTCTGCAACAAGCAAAAATGCATCCAGAAATACTCAAGATGTCGATGTTGGCGCACCGATTGGTTTGTGCGGTCGCTTGTCCTCAGCGGCGGTGGCGGGGCACCAAGTGTAGCGATGCAGGTTGCTGATGATGTGTGTACCCACGAGCGTGAACCGTCCGAAGCTCCTACAATCCACCACCCGAATCGTGATCGGCGGACAGTACAGTTCCTGCTCCGGCAACTCCTGAGAAATAAAGATTGTTTAGAACACAAAATTGTCGTTGATAATATTACATTACCTTATTACCTTGCATTTTAGTTGACAGAAACGATGATGGAGGATACATTCAAATGCAGTGGTCATGCAATTAAAATGTAAATAAAATGATGATAAACTTGGATAATCATTTTCAGTAAATCAGATTTTTGAGCTAGTGAGTTGATTAAATTTCACAATAAATTTGGCCTCTAAAATTCGCTGCCACATTAATTCACGAAGAAAGTGACTATGACCATCACTGGACGTTGATGAACTTTGTTGAGCGTTAAGAAACTGATAACTCATCGCATCGACAAAATTGAAGGATCATAATTCACGGGATAACGACCTTTTAATTGTATAAGCTAACAGGAGGTCGATGCTCTTTGTTTTAATGTTCTTGATGGAACAATTATTAACCTAATGCGGCTTCATGTTCCAAGTAATACTGAACCAATATTATAATATTTGTATGACTCGGTACTAAGTTTCCATCCATCCAACTCAAAGCACAACTCACCAGGTCGATGAACTTGACGGGGTTCGTGAAGTTTGGGTTGCGTCTGGCGCTGCTGATCACTCCGGACTGGACGATGTGGCCGGCAATCTCCACGTCCACTCGAGGCCTGTCCACCGTCAGCAGGTGGATGCGGCGCAAGTCTCGCAGTCCCCAGAACAAAACCTGAGGTAAATCAAAATAATTTTACAAAGTAAACATGAGTCGTAGCATAAAGAAAAAAAACGGAACCAAATCCCAATCCAGAATCAATGCAATTTATTTAAGAATCAATATCCGGAACATTGTGAGTAGGTACTTCTTGTTTAACGATTAAATTCTAGGATGAAAACTAATTTTAAAAATCTACAAAAATATTTGGGGGCGATCAATATGTTAGAAATATTTTCGATAGATACTGAAGTATGATGGTACTTGCAAGTTAACGTCGTGACTAACAGAGTATTAGCCATCCATGCACCAGGTTGGGTAACAGGGTGACAAATGAGAATGATGAGAAAGCGCTAGAAGTCTTTCATTTGAAACCATTTATTCATGTACACGACTGGCGCTTATTTGACTGACATAGTCACCCGACTGGCACAGCAACCAAGACTGGTTCAGTTACCTCAGCAACCGTGAGTGGCTCAGCAACCGTGATTGACTCAGTCACCAGACTGGCAGTTATTTGGCTGACATAGTCACCAGACTGGCACAGCAACCATGACTCGCTCAGTCACCAGACTGGCACAGCAACCCTGATTGGCTCAGTCACCAGACTGGCACTTATTTGGCTGACAAAGTCACCCGACTGGCACAACAACCATGGCTGGATCAGTCTCCAGACTGGCACAACCTCCTCATGAATTTTTCCCCAGGTAGGTGACGTACCTCTAGCCTGTAGTGAGCCAGGGTGGGTCGGATGCCGCGTGGTACGGGCAGCAGAGGTCCAGCCTGCGGATCTCTGGGCTGGTCTTCCTTCGCCTCTGGCAGTGGGATGACGTCACCTCGAGCATCACCGTCCCCAAACTGGAGGAGGATGAGGAGTGAGTGATTGTAGTGGATAAAGATGGTGAATTGTGGATGAGATGATGAGGGAGTTGATCAGAAAAACGGATTAGAAAGACAGCAGTGATAAAGGAAGCTAAAATCAGATTTATAGCCCGGATAAAAAAAAGATAGATTACAGGAAAAAGAAAAACACAAATTGAATAGATAACATAAATAAGAAAAACTTCAGGTTACTTGGGTTTTCATTTCATGACAGGGATTGGTGGCCTCGGCTGTTAGATTTCACAGGTTCAGAAGCAAGTTTTGATTTTGAAGCCTTTTGCCAATTATTTTTTAGTCCTCCATCGAGAAATTAAATCTTAAAATTGATCAAATACTACAGTGCAAGTGAGCTAATTGATGGTTTTGAGAGAGATTTGTACACCCAATGGAGTATTTATGCAAAATAACATAGAAGACAATTGGATAACCACTGAGCTTTGTTTGTCTTCAGTCCAGGTTAGAATGGACTAAATGTTGTTATCTATAGATAACAACTTAAAATAGATAAAATCTAGCAGTGCAAGTGAGCTAATTTAAAATTTTGAGAGAGATTTTCGTCACCTACATAATAAACTTCCATAAGGAAGTAGATTTAATTTCATACTACCCGACACAGTTTTAATTTTATACTGCCACAATCCGTCACCTACATAAGAAACTTTCATAAGGAAGTAGATTTAATTTCATACTCCCCGACACAGTTTTAATTTTATACTGCCACAATCCGTCGCCTACGTAAGAAACTTTCGTCACCTGGAGGAGTTCAAAGGCCGCGAGCAGCTCCCCAGCAGTGTCGCTGCCGCGGTGTAGGTCGTACCACTCAAGACGAGGCTTGACGTACCCGTCCTCCTTGAGCTTCATGTTGGGGCGCGCCAGCGTCCGCCCTATGAACTCCGACTTGCCCTGCGTGTACAAGATACTTTTGCGTCGTTTCCATTGAGATCGTTGAGGGCAGTTATGAATAATTTTATTGTTTATTAGTGAGTCATTATTCAACATTTCATTCTATTTGATTTCGATGTTGTGTTTACTTTAATCTTAATAGACTGGTGAAACATAAGGAGAGTTTTCTGATGATACGACACGAATAAATTCTCAATGCGTTGCAATATGTTAACAATATTTATTCAAGGAAATTTTATTTACTAATACATAATATTAATTTCATTACATAACCTTTTTAATAATATTTGCATATGTCAAATAAGTCGAGTGTTAAACTGGTAATGTTTTATCACCTATTAAGGAGCTTTTAAAAATTGTCGAAATTATTGAGTAAAAAATCTCAGTTAGTAGATATAAGCTGTTGGAGGAAGAAAATTATTTTCAACGTGAATTATTTTTAATATGAAATGATTATAACAAATAATTCGAAAATTATGAGTCGTGCTACATTGAGAGTGAAAATATAATTGAGCCGTTAATCTTCTAGAACAAAGGAAAGGCCGAACACGTCTGGGTGTTGGAACTACAATGTAATATTTTGTGCAGCAAATGCGAAGTATATGTCTTTCATGTTTCATAATGCTATAAACTCAGTCGCGTGTCGAAAATTCAAATGATGAAGGACTTCAAAAAAGACATTTGACAATATCACAAGGCAATATCAAAAGGAGAAGAAAACTCTTATTTAGAGCACAATAAAAATTATGAAAATCGTGTGCATTGCTTCTTCACAGTGTCAAACATAAATAGTGATTCCATGAAATTTTCCTAATTCAAGTTATAAATAATTTTTTTGCCCAATATAGTTCTACGGTTGAAACTCACCACTTTGTCCTGATCAAAAATTTCGACCACCACCATCGGAGGCTCTTTTTTAATTTCTTCTTTGACTCCATACACAATAACCTCGTCGAAGATAAGCAACTCGTCCCACGTGGGACTGAGAGTCTCATCAATAACCTGCCATAGAGCGAGAGAACAAATATTTCATTTGTGAATTTGAGTCTCGTCAATAACCTCTCATCGAGTGAGAGAACAAATATTTCATTTGTGAATTTGAGCCTCGTCATTAACCTGTCATTGCGCGAAAAAATAGAAATTTCATTTGTGAATTTGAGTCTCATCAATAACCTGTCATAGAGCGAAAGAACAAATATTTCATTTGTGAATTTGAGTCTCATCAATAACCTGTCATAGAGCGAGAGAACAAATATTTCATTTGTGAATTTGAGCCTCGTCATTAACCTGTCATTGCGCGAAAAAATAGAAATTTCATTTGTGAATTTGAGCCTCATCAATAACCTGTCACAGAGCGAGAGAACAAATATTTCATTTCTGAATTCATTATGCCGTGTGGGACTAAAACGGTCTAATCGTTCTAAGTGACGAGAGATAAGCAAACCATAATTTTAATTTTGGGCATAAATTTACTCAGACATAAACAGAGCGCTTACTCGGGAAAAGGATTGTTGGCCGTAAATCTTTTCAAATACAAAAAAGGCCTCATGAATTTTATGGTAACAATTATATTAATACATATCATAACTATAGAACCATGAAGTAGTAGCACAAGATGCGGAAAATTGTATACCACAATATCCTTAATATTGATAATAATATCCTTAATAATTATTCTGTTTGTTAAAAAATGTAAGAAGATGCGCAGTATGAAGCAAAATTCGAAAAAAGATACCTCATCATAACCAAATTTTCTGGTGAAATCCCGACCTGAGTAACTCTGCAGTGCTCGCCGAAGATTATACGTGCGAAGGGATCAGAGAGCCCTGATGCATCTGAGCCTATCAGCGACCTCGCTTGGTATACGTGAGCTCGCAGCTGGAAGGTCTGAGACACAGAAAAAATGGAGCGGAAAATTATTAAATATTTTGTAATACGAAGCAACAGTTTTGTGTTAAATTTAATAGTTTGAGGTTTTAATTCTTGATTCATGTCCGAATAAATTAAATAAGTATTTATGCAGTCAGGAAATGGCACAAGTCAATTTTTAAAAGGATTATAATTATCAGAGTTCAGTATTCGAAACCCCTAAATTACAATAAATAAAATTGAGTAAAATGTTATCTGCTGAGATTGATTACAATGGATGAACGAAAAAGAAACTTTTCCACATCACTCAGATTTAATTGTTGCGAATTTTTTGTAATAAAAAATTCTTTTCCTGAAATAAAATTTATTTCTTTAGTTCCGCCACTAAGCATTATACTTTTTGCAGCATCTCTTAAATATTGAACACCGAGCTGGAACCCAAACCTGCTTAGCAGAGTAATGCAGGGAAGTTGGTGGCAGAGTTAGCGGACGCTCAATGTTCCGGAACTCGTAGCACATCTCGTAGCCCCGCGGGATGCCCGGCAGCAAATGCTTCTTGTGTTTGGCCAGACCGAGCCACAGGTAGACCTGCAGCTTCGCTTGGATAGCCCAGCCTCCAGGGCCTGACGACCTGCGGCCTGGCAGCTGCCCAGCATCAAGGAAATAATATTATTCGACATATAACGAGAAAAGTAAAGGCGAACACTTTTATTAATTGACAAGGAAATAATAAATATTGTACATGTCATGGGAATGGTGGAGGCAGACACCTCTATTAATTGAAATTTGAAATTTTAAGCTTCGTATAGTCTTGATTTTTATCTCGGAATTTTAATGCAATAAAACCATAATATATATTAGTTGAGCTCAGTCACGAGACGTAGTCGTATAAATGCAAAACCATCCAGTCGAGTCGTTCACTGCTCCTAGATGAACGATCACCTTCTTTTTAATCAATTTGCCTGTGTAATATCATCTAATCCCAAACATTAGCGTAATGATCAATGATATTGTACAATACAATGTAGACAGAGAAAATAATTCGTTGAAGGAAGTAAGAATGCCATGGACAGTATCACAATCGCCATTGTCATAAAAGATAATATGATCTGTCTCTTATACACATCTAGATGTGTATAAGAGACAGGTACATAAGANAATCTGTCAAACATAATCGATCATGAAGTAAAGAATTATGAGTCCCCGTAAGGGAATAATCTGTCAAACATAATCTATCATGAATTAAAGAATTATGAGTCCCCGTAAGGGAATAATCTGTCAAACATAATCGATCATGAAGTAAAGAACTGTGAGTCCCCAAAAGGGAATAACATTTAAGTCAAGTACGGACCTTAAGAAAGACGGTGCGCAGCAGCCCGCACTGCTTGCCACGCTCGACCTGCGTGGGGCCGTGGATGAGGTGGCGAGCGGGCAGCCGTTGGTACGCCACACGCTTGCCGCCACTCAACATCCACACGAACACGTCGGGCAGACTATGCTGCGGCTGCCGGGTTGAGGAATTAGAGTTATATGCGTAAACTTAAATTTCATCTATTAATTGACGATATAAATAAAAGACTTTAACGACTGGAGAATTAATTAGAAGTAGTCGTGTAAGTATTTGAAGTCTAATATGACTATTTTGACTATGCACTGGTTATACATTGAGTTAATTTTCGATTTTTTTGTAAGAGGATCGTTTTAAAAAGATTCATCAGTTCATAAACTAATTATATGATTTCTATTTCGTGTAATAGAAGAGTAAAATTACCAATTGTTTTGTGTGCACAGCTTGAATTTTATTTTATATTCAAGGATCTGTTTTGAAAAATGTGCATAGAATTATATCCTTCAGAACTAAAAATATTGAGATCTGGTTCTGGAAATAATTTCTTTGCGCATAAGTCAGTGACGTGATTTGACGGGAAGTAAATAATTGAATTTAAATTCCTCAATCTATTGATAAATTATTTAATCTTAAAGTAAATTTTATATCAGTAGGACATTCTACCGAAAACTTACGTAGAGAGGTTACGTACGTTTTATATGTACAATTAAATTTAAAAGATAGAAATTCATAATAACCAATGACTTCATTACAATTATTGGAACAATTATGTTAATGTTTGCAAGTCATTAAGTACGATCTTTAAAAAGTATCACAAAACTTTCCTACACAATTTTTAGATTTGAGAATGAGACCATGAATGATTCAGGATAAATCAAACTTCCATCAAAGTAATGAATCTATAACAAACATGACATTGCTCCCAACAAAAAAGCTGATACGCAAATGAATCATGAAATTTTCATGCTCATATTTTTACTAGAGTCCGAAATTTTAGGATGCCGAGCAAAATGCTGAAATTTACCAACATATCCATTTCGACCTTACTGATTTTTTAAATTGCAAAGCGTTCAAACCATCGAAGTTTACTTTAAGAGTATTCGACAATTATTGTCATGCAAACTAATTATAAGCATTTCGATACTTGAAATCAAGTTATCATTGAATGCTTTACCAATTAATAGTGAACAATGAAAACAATTATTGTTTAATTGATACGTCCATTGAATTCATCGCAAATGTTACAAAAATTCATAGCAATGACTATGACACCTTCTAGAAAATTAAATTCAAGCGTAAAAAATCATATTCAATCCTCTTCTACTCAGTTGTATGCCACATCAATGGAATTCATTGCGTTCACTCACGTCTTCGACGAGTTGCTTGATGCGCGCGAGGAAGCCCAGCGTCGCCTTGTAGCGATCTCTGAGTGAGTGCTTCGTGATCGTCGCTCTCGTCTGGCGGGCTGACGAGTGAATGCACTCCTGTCAAGCAATAATCACAAACGAATAATATTTTAAACCATGTACTCAAAATATTTGGTAGTAATCAAATTGTTTGCCGCTTCTCTGCTATTGGGAAGAATGCTCGATCATTCAACGTTCATAGAAGGCAAAGACTAATTATACGCAGTTTTGTATTTTTGCGAGGTATCACGTCGTACTCAAGTATCGTACGTAGCAACAAATTATCTTTCAATTTTATTCATGGTAAATTATTCAAATCGCCTATTTTTATATCATTTAATAACTAAATATTAAAGTCAGTTATAATCATGCAACAACACAAACTATTAAAGCAATCAAAGCGATTGGCATGCCATGCTTTTAAATATAATTTCCATTTATCCTTGATATAAGAAATGTTATACAAACAATTTCTCTGATGCAGAGTTTGAAACGCTCCTTGTCCAGCCTCGTCCTGCCTCCAGTTGAGCCGCTGCACGAAGCAGACTTCGTGAAGTCCAGATACTCATCACAGCTCTCCATCAGCCGCTCCAGCACAGCGCGCAGCTTGCGCTCAGGCTGACCTTCATCCTCATCCAGCACTGACTGGAAATCAGTCAGCCCTTCTTCCTGAGTTGACAGAATTGAAAAAAAGTTTCAGATAGGCAATAATTTCAAATTATTGTAATAGTTTATGAACAGAAGTATGGAAGAGATCAGTCATGACTAGTTCAAGAGTCGACATAGAGTAACAGTAAACATGATAGATAAATCTTTTTAGGCTTACACCTTTTTTCATGAAGTGAGAAAGATATTTAATAGATAAAGATATCGAATAAAAGAAATAAATATTGAACAAAATAAAAGCTTTGGACCTCGAATTTGGCTACTAAATACAAACAGTCGAAGATGAAATGAAAAAACAGTCACCCGCTAATTAAAATACTCAAATAAAAATACACGGAAGAGTGAAGTGATTTTTATCATATTATCTATAAAAACATCAAATTCAGTAAATAAACCTTCTCGGTGATTACATTCGGTCAAAATAAATGCCTTCGAAAGCTCTCATGCTTGAACGGCAAGTGAACAAAAGTGGTTTTCAGTTGAGAAATTCAATTCACTTCAAAAGCCGCTATTCCGCTGTAATTAATGTCTATTAGCCCTCCAATTAAACAATTTGGCTAGATGAGCGGATAAAATAATGATATTAGATGGTAATCGAGTGAAGAATGGAAGAGGACATTTATAAACAATTGTACAGTAATTTCTCATTTATATGAGATTAGTTAGACAGAATCATCTTACGGGAAAAGTCTTCGGAGTTTAAACCAAACATTTAACTACCTTTTTGGATGTAGACTCAGTTTGTATATGAGCAAATAAGATGGTTATGTTCCAGTAAATATATCCTATTGAATAAAATCAACTTCACGCACGAGGGTGGAAGCAACTCTGGATAGCGCGTTGGAGTTGAAGAGCCGGCGTCTGTGGTCTTGCCATAGCGACCGCACAAACAAGCAAGGCTTGTCGTCCCAGTAGGGCAGGAAATAATATATCCTGAAGATGGATAAATAAAATTATGGTAAAATTATACGATTTGTTGATTAAACAGTAATGAACATTTGGGTTTTGATTGGATAATGCATGGTACTGTGTTTGTGATCGTTTACTCGTCTTGATTGGATCAGCAATACGCCTTACTTGTCGTTGGTCATTGGTTTCATCGGGGGTGTGGTTGACTGCCACATCGAAGACTCGGCGATCACTGACTCTGGGCCTGTATAAAATCGCAAATAAGTATACACGGAGTTCTATTAAATTAGTAAGCCACTGATGAGTAAATGAAATTCGTGAGAACATAGTTACACAATGCTATTATTTTCTTAACAAAACTCTTGATATCCCGTTTCATGAAATTGTTCAATCTCTTCTCTGAAATAAGTCAACAGGACAGTTTTGCTGTGAAAATATGAAAACAGCAGAAATAATTGAGAATGCATGAGTGATAGAAATTTATTTTCATTTTCTATTATTATAACGGTATAAAAACTCGATATCTGCATTTGAATGGCATAAAATGCATTATGTTTCGATGAATAACGACGACGAACCCGATTCTTCTTCGCTCTCGTCGTCGCCGCTTGAGTGCCGCATGGCAGCGTAGCCGTCGAAGGAGTTGCCGGCGTTGCCGATGGAGATTTCGAAGCTGACTTGCTTGTCTGCCACGCGCTTCTCGATCATCGTGGCCTCGTGCACACAAGCGAACAGCAAGAACTCTTCGTTCTTGCCGTAGTTTGACTGTACAAAATGATCAAATTATTGCACGAGTAGTTATTTAAATAGATATAGCGAACGAATTTCTCCAATGTAACTTTTTAGAACATTCACAATGTAAATACTGAAATTAAATCTTTCCGGTGACGAAAAATGCACAGTTCTTCGCACAACGGATCGTGTCAGAAAATGCGGTTGGTTAACAGCTACAAACTGGTCACACTTTTAATTTTTTAGTTAAACATCAAACTCCCAAATGATTTACACGTTTTAACACTGATCCTAGTAATATTTCCATATGGAAAAATATAAATATATTTTAATGTCTTTTATTGTATTTTGGTACCTTGTTATCAGTTTCTATTCGCTTATCGTCTCGTTTGGCCATCCTTAATTCGAACTAGTAGATTTTAGTAGGACCAATAAAACCTCATTGAAAGTATTTCAATACTTTACCTCAAATTACTATTTGTTTCGTAGCATCCCCACCATTATCAAATCAGTGTTATAATTAAATTACCTCCTGAATTGGCATGGTGTTTTCAACTTCAACTTCAGACGGAGCGACATCGAGGTGGTCGGTGATCTGACATCGCACGCTCAGCAGGAGGCGCCCTCTGTACGCGATGCCCTCGCCCATGCCTGCGTTGAGAGCGGCATGCTCGTCCATCACGCTGCCGTCTCGCGTCGAGCCGTACAGGTAGACGTAAGCTGGGCCAAACGTAGGAAGGAAACCTGAACAGAAACAGATAAATATGGATTTCATTTATCAAGGCATGGATTTTTTTTCATTACAAAAAAATCCAGAAAACTTTAAATCTAAAATGGTATTATGTATTTGGAGGATCTACGTGCCACAATGAATAAGGATTATTGGTCAGGGCGCTCGTATGTCATTGCCAATTTTCAGGCTTGAAATTTTGCTTCTCTGGAACAAATTTTAAATGTCAAAATAATGAAAATATACATTAGTTCTTGACCATCGCGAATAATAAAACATACTTTCAGTTTTAAAATACTATTCACTAGCCTCTGTCGCCGTCGTTGGAGAACTGTGTGAGGTCCAGAAAATGCGTGCCGATGACTGTGTCGTTGACAGCGTCGTTGTCTCGGAGCTGAACTTTGACGCGTTGACAGAGAGGAGGGAACATTTCTGAGAACACCACCTGTTCGTTCCAACTCGGGCACGCTGTGTTCTTCTTTACAGATGTTCGGCCCTGGACACATAATGCCCGTAATTTTTCTCTCGTTAAACTTGTCGGAAAAATTAATTTTATCAAGAGCAGATGAGAGAAAGACTTATTAAATTAGCCACTACTGCAAGCAGTTCAGCAAATAACGCTTTTTTCTGTACAGCAAACCCACTAGTAACATATTTTTTCGATTTTTTCCATGCCTAAGCAAAGAAACATTCTGTAATTCAGTTACTTCTTAAATTATGATATGTGACCATTAATCACAGCCGTCTTATATTGTAACATTTTTCTTTCACATTCCGCTACGACGCGGAACATGATAATAATTCAACGAATTTGAAACATGATAATGTAATATATATTTATGAACGAAAAAATGCATCGTACAACTGTTCTGGCTGGACAAACATACGAACATTTGTACAACTATGAAAACCCATTCTACTGTATTGAAAAATGGAAGGATCTTCGCTTATCAAAAACATCCAACTTTCACGCGAAGATTCATCTCAGCCGTATATGGAACTAAGAACATTTTTCAATTAATCTTTAATAATTTAAAATAGAGCTTACTGCATTTTGATACCTTGTCCCTTGTTAATTTTGTTACTTTTTGGGTGATTTTATCCGTAAATTCCGTAAATACGTAAAAAATAGTAAATTAGCAAACCCAAAATCACATGGTAGCACTGAAATAATTTTGGCTAATATAATTATGCCAATACCTAATGATAGAACGGAGACACTCACCGACAGCCCGGCGAAAGACACCTGTACGTAAGGGTCCACTAGGTCCTTCGAGTCCCCGGTAAAAGCTTTTTTGACGTTCGCCATAATTGAAGAGTTGATTTTGGGAAGCCCGTCGGCGCGGTAAATGCGGACGATGAACTTGGCTCGCTGGCGCTCGGCCGGCACCCCGTCCGGCAGGAGGAGGTTCCTGAGTTTGTGAAGCGGTATTCACTGACGGCATGCGCGATCATAACTCATGAATTAAGTTTATGATTAAATCAAGAATGCTGGAAGAAATCATAAAGATAATAACTGCAGCCCGAAAAATTTAATGATTAAAAATTTGAAACGAATAATTTTCATGAGAAGGAAATTTTAGAAGTTAAGTTAACAATATTTAGTTTAACATCTTGAGAAGTGAGTGAAGAATAGGTTCAAATTCCATTGACTCGTATTGAACGTTTAGACATCTTGCCAGCTTGGGAGATATTCCCCCTAGAATAAGAATAGAATGAGAATTCGAATGAATATATCCAAGATGCCCACAAAGAAGTAATTCCAATGCGGGATTCCAAAGTAATACGAGTTCCAAATGATTCGTGCGAATTCGTCTGAGACAATGGATTGATGGATTGGAATCATCGTTCCAGTAAGCAATTAGTCAAATAAAACAATTGGTAAATTGAAAGTCGCAGGATATTCCATTGCTTTAACGTTTAACTTGCGAGGATAGTGAGGAAGTTACCGAGGTCGGCTGGGAAACATTTTCTGATATAAATAATTTGAAAGAAGGAAAACAGAAATAAATGTATAAGAATGTAAAAATTTTATGGCAAAAATTACTGGGAAGTTGTGAGATGAGGTATAAATAAAAGGGCGTTTGCCTTATGTGCTTCAACTAGTGGTAGCTGGTATTACTCAATGAAATCAAGCAATAATATAAATTTATATAAGAAAAAATATAAGTAATAACGTCAGAGAAATGCGCTCTATGGAGTGCGCAAATATCACTGAGGCATTGTGCTCGTTATACTTCTCTGCGTGTGAAGCAAAAATTAGCGACATGATTGAGAATATATCAACAGAAAGATTAAAATAAAGTACTGGTTAGACTGAAATATATGATAAAATGTTAGCCGATCACACTGTTATTCTGAGATTTAATTTATGAACATACCTCGATCATATCTTACCTCGATATTTTACAATAATTCATGAAGCATGGAACAAATTCTACTTCAACGACATTCCATTTCATACAAGTGAATAGGTTCATGGGAAGTACTCAAATATAGTGTCACATGCTGGGTAACCTTGCTGTCATTTATGCCTGTCATTTAATTAGCGACTTAATTTAGATACCATTTCCGTGCAATTAAGTTAATCAACCATGTAGAACATGCAACGCAAGCCATATGTGGCTGTAAATCAATTAAAAATGTTTACGTTAGATCTTCAGTAAATTGTGAAAGACGAGTTTTTTTCGGAGAAACAACTAATGAAAAACGACCACATTTAACACAATTCGTTCTATTGGTTATCTATAAAAAAATCTCCCTTTGTCATCAGTTCTAAATGAACTTCTTACGAAAAAGAACTTGCCTTTAAAAACAATCAAAAATCAGGCCGCAACTTGCAAGACATTCACATCTTTGCGTTCAATCGTCATATGTTCGGGCACAACTATAGCGTCGGTTGTACACGTATGTTAAGATTCCAGAGCAGTAAATAGCTCAGGAATTGGCCCCAGTTTGGTAATAAATTCACGCTTTGCGCTTCCCTATGGGTGCATGAAAGCGCCAAACTTTTCAGTGTAATGCCATAAGACGCATGTCCCATGTAATGCAAGCAAACGCTTCAAAGATCGATGCTTCTCGTCCGGCAGGGTTTGGCAGACATTTGCTGTGAGAAGCCGTACGAAGTCACGAAAAGTTCAAAAATCGGCAACAGGCCATGGGCCTATTTCTTCAACGCCGACACTTCTATTCTAAGTGTCTCAGATTTCCTAACAAAGTTGTCTTCTTGTGCTCACTAGTTTGAACTTGAAGTATCAAACTTTTCCTGACATGTGTATTTCACACAGCTAAAAAGAATGTATTTAAAAATCCAACTCTATTAAGTGAGGCGTGACTCGAATTTTTTTAAGCATCTGAACTTCGATTGCTTAAGAAAGCTATAGTATCAACTGACAATCTAAACGTTGTTGAACGAGAGGCTGTGCGAGATCAAGTCGGTCGAAGAGATATTAAAAAAAACTTTTTGCCAGCTGAATGCAGTTGCACGTCAAGAGAGAGACAAGGAACGCCATGGAAATATGAAGATATTGTGAAAACGTGGCAACAGCAACGACACATAAACACAATAAAACATCGGAGGCAACTGAATCTGAGACAGTGAGTGACGTAGCAATGGGGCAGTGACAATGCAACGATGCAGTCGAAATGCAATGGAGGCTGGGGCAATGCAATATGGCACCTGCAGTCCCAGTGAAAGTAATGACTTTGAAATATGACTGTAACAATGCAATGGGACTGTGACAATAAAAAAAGGGGAAGTGATAATGCATTGGGGTAGTAACAATGGAATAAGGGGCAGTGGTAATGCATTAGGGTAGTAACAATGGAATGGGGAAGTGGTAATGCATAGGGGTAGTACAATGGAATGAGACAGCGATAATGCCAGGGAGACAATATATATGATGGGAGAGAAAATGAAAACGTGAGAATGAAACAATAATGCACTTGAGGAAACGGCAATGCAAGTCTTAAAAATGATAGGAAACCACCAAAGGGACGACTGAAATTGCGTAAAGAGAGGCAGTGTTACGGCGTAGCAGAAATGGCAACGTACCCATCGGGTGTGGCCCTGAGGGTGGCAGGGAGAACATTATCAGGGATTTTTACAAAAGATCATTAAGAAGCAGGTATTTAAAAATAATATAAGCAATATTTTACGGATAAATTCGATTGAGTTTAAAGTCGAGTTAAATAAATCAGAGAGATCCAAGTCAAACAATGTAGCTACTTTCTGCGAGTTCTACGGCTTAGCGGGAATATAAAAGTAAAGAACATTTATACACAATCGACGATACGAATTTACTGCAAATTGTATCCGTTATTTAATAACATTAGTTACATTTTTTATATTAATAAATAAGTATTAATTATTTCAAGTAGATAAACCAACATACACTAAATCCATGAAGTTCATAAACACATATCAGAGTTGCATGTTTCTATTCGAGTAAATGTTTCGTTACATTAGTTTAAAGTATTTAGTACACAAATTCAACGAAAATGATCAACAAAATCAGGATGCAACGTGCAACATTAATCGAAACACTTTTTCTCCATGTTGGGCATGGAAAAACATCAAATGGAACGACGTATTTTCAAATTTCGGTGTATGCCCGGCTTCAGATATTAATAAGCGTTTATTCACACTGCTCATTGAATCAATGAAGTAAATTTTACAAGAACGGATTTTTTTTCGTCTGATTACAAAATAAATGTTTCTAGTATAAAAACAGGTTCTTCAATTTCTCTGTTTTCATTGATATTCTATCGAGACTTCTGTGAATAACAGAAAAACTGCAATAATCTTAGATTATTGTTTTATTCTATCAATAGAAACTTGTCGTCTCATCGAAGTCTTAATTCTAGAATACGTACTATATCATCATGACATTAGTATTATATCAAAGATTTATAATAAGTGAATGAACTGATTTGCTGATATGATTAATCTATTATTAATATCCGTAAAACAAATACGTCAGCTTCAGAGGATTTCTAAGAAGATTTAACAACGAATTTTCTGTTATTTAAAGCAATATTTCAAATATTATTGCATTGTCACTCAAATCTCTGTCCCCGCTTTACGTACGGTGTGCTGATAGCACCGCTGCCTTATGATCAAAAGAATAAATTTAGAGCTGGGCTTTACAGTTTTGACGGTCGAGCTTTGAGCTTGATCTTTTAGCGCGAGATTGCAAATGGATTCTCCATCGACGTGAATGTGTGAGCTTCAAATTCAAGGTGAATTAATGTGAAAAACAAAATTGTTTGTGTCAGTGCTCCGTGGAGATAAATAAGTGTTGAAATATTTGAATCTTTTTAAACTTCGTGTTTCTTCTGTTAGGCTTGGTTGCATACGGAATACATCGTTGATCGAAGACATGGATTAAACTTGTGTTTACCGGGTGATTGTTAGGCAAAACGGCCGTGAACAAAACCCCATCGCATCTAATTCCCAGGATCTATTTGACAAGCTTATTGAGGCCAGCCACTTCAATAAAATTCTTTTCTAACTAAATCGTGGTAAAAAATAGTGTTCTCGAATATTATAGTTCATGCGTCCATTCTTTTTTTTTTTTGTTCAACCCATAGACGCCGTTCAAAAATTTACTCGCTGAAGCTAATTTATGAATTCAATTCATTAAAGAAATTCAATATTAAGTTCGTAAATCGAGCGCAATTAAGTTCATGTCCTAATCTGAATTTCATCTTGTCTACCTTAATTAAACATAAATTTTTTTTAACTGGAGGCTAGTACTAATTTCTATAGAAGTTGTGGAAAATCAGGAAACTAACTTCGTATCTATAATAGGCTAATAGTATTTTTGCCATAGAGCTGCGACAAATTCTTTCCGAAAAGATGTGCACAAAGAATCCTGCAACACTTTTCTTGAATGAAATATCGTTACTCACATTGGAATGCAACAGCTATTCTATATTTCATAAAAAATTTAGAACACTGCATCTACTGGCATGTGAGACTCAAATTTATTGCGTCATATTCATCATGGCTATTAACATGAATAGCTTCAAATAAGAATGATCCAATCACATAGCGGATTTAATCATGGGAATAATACAGTTGTATGATTTGATTTGATTTCAGATCTGAGCTCAATTACTGAGCTGATTTTAAATAACCTAGATTACACCTGAAGAATAACCTCAGAACTAATCAATAGTGATCATTATTTGTATGCGTAGAAACTAAGAAAAGCATTTATGCCTAAAGAAATAAATAATGTATGACAAAAATTTTCCAAATCCATTTCAAAATAGAGTGATGACATTTCAAAATTAGATCCAGCGATAATGTTTATGATGCTTAATATTTTCATTTAACCTAAAAACTTGCCGCGCAGCCTCCCAAAATAATATTCATTTGTTCTTGGATCTCAGCGAGGGCTTCATTAATAAATCTATAATATTATTGTAGCTCATCAGTTGAAATGGAATGCTGGAATATAAAATGGTTAAAATTCCTCTCATATTCACTGAAAAAATTTTAATTTTGTCTGCACTTCTTCTTATTAATATAGGTTGTCATAAGTGTTCCTTTAAGCAGGTTTCATTGAAGACCAGAGAATTCGTATTATTGACAATTTTTTCAATAGATTATATCATATTTCAATAGATCATTTTTTCATTAAAACGAATTCTCTGGTCTTCAATGAAACCTGCTTAAAGGAACTTCATCTTATGAAGACATATGGCTATGAAATTATTCCATATTAAAATTGACATCCGAAGAACATATTCAATAGCAGCATTCTATTGGTTTAACTTTCGAACAATTTATAAACTGACACTGACCCTTCGATGTCGTCCTCGTCCTTATCAGACCTAGCAGTGAGTGACAGAGCGCATTTTCTCGTCGACGAAAACATGAAATCACGGACGGGCAGACAGACGGACGGACGGACATGGCGAGCACAATGGTGCATTTTTTCCATAAATGAGAAAATGCGCTAAAAATTATGTAAAAAATTAATATAATTGATAGTCGTATCCTGCATAATTACTTTACCAAAAAAATATTATAAGAGGTATAATAAATCACCAATACACTAGTAAAGCAGGTCTCAAAGTGTCATGTAAAGTGCATATTACGTGAAAATAATGCAATCGTCGCTATGGTAGAAACGCAGTTTTGGTGCATACACTATTGGAAGGGAAAATGTACTCAGCCGAATTGTTCGAAAATCACCTTTTGAAATGAATTATCTAGCGGGTCTGTTAAAATACTTATTGAGTGTAGTAAACGGTTCATGCGGCGTAGTGTAATATTTTGACTATTTGATAGGAACAAAATCTACCATTATTCGAGAGAGAAACATTACGGCAAGCATTGAGTAATTTGCGCACCAAGAAGTTTAAGGTGAGTGCGGATTTCGGGGAAGCAATAGTGCCTAAAATATATGACGAGTGAGATCATTTAGGTTTGTGCTATGATTTACCATCAGACGATTTTCTCATATTTCAATGATACACTGGAATTTTTGTCCAAATCAATCGATTGTTTCAAATAAATCATTCAGTTTAAATTTACTAATATTGATCGGAGAGTATGGTATTGTTCTTATAATGAGAACATAATTATATACTTTAAAATTTTTAGCCGTTTCTAGTTAGAAAAGTATCAAAGTATATAATTTTAGGCTTGCGATTAGTGTCGTTGAAGATTATTTGACATGGATGCCATCAAAAATTCTTCAAGCTATGAATCAAAGAATGGAGCAAGTGTTGCAAGATTATTTTTTCAAATAAATTTGTTAAGAATAATCGAATCCTAATAATTCCGGAATTTGAAATGATTGCTGAGTAAGATGATACTGAAATGTACCTTGTTCGTCATTCACGCTGTAGTTTAGGCGCTTTCCTTTTCCAAAGTTTGTAGATCAACATTCTCCTGATACCACAATGGATTACGTTTAGAATATGTAATGATATTGACAACGAAAAAATTATGTTGAAAAGCTTTTTCGTGGAGACTTCAAATCATGGTGACCATTTAATCGGGACAGGGTTTCGTTTCTTTTTCATTGGGTTTTTCGATCGCTGATAAGAGCGAAACTACATACAAGAAAAGCAAAGCAAAATCAAGCGCCTAGAAGTGCACGGTACACCAGTTAAACCTGAGCAGAAAATCAACGGCTCATCATCGCTGTCCGACTGTCTTTCAAACACAAGCCCCGAATAGCAGCAGGTATTTAACTTTATGCTAATCAGAACAAATTATCACCGAATGACATCAGCAAATGTTCAATTGAAAGTTAAATTTAAAGAATCAAAATATTGAATCAGCGGTTAATCATGGTCTGACGATAGTCTTTGTTTGATGGCGTAGGAAAATGCACCGATGATTTTCGACGCTTGAGTTTAGACCAGAAGCGTAAAGCTCGTGTAGCAAAGTGGTTCGTCATACCGAACATACGAACTTATTAATATTCTCATATCGAATTGTTATACCAGGAGCCCTGTGTACTGTTGCCAGGTCCAGCTTGAAGCTTCCTATAAACTCGCCCTTCGAAAAGAACTTCTTGGAGTGTAATGCCTGAAAATTTCGATCCTTTTTAGGGTAAAATTACATGATATAGAGCAAAAAATCTAACAATTTTGATGGAAAAAAGATTTTGTAGACAAATACTACACAGTCAGTCATAAATTCAGCCCTTTTTTAGGGAATGAACTGAAAATTTGAACTATATAAGTAACCTGTAGCAAGTAGAATGAAAGAAGAACTTGATTTTTTAGGAAGAGGATATTCAAGTAGAGATATAGTGGAAAAACTACATGGAAAATAAATTTTGAACAAAAGACAAATGAAATTTTCGACACGATGGAAAATATTCTATAATGAACTTGAGTAAAAGCCTGAACTCCGGCAGATTTTCAAAAGGTCCGGCAATATACAACAATAAATTAATGAGCAACTACAACAACTCTAGGTCTTGCATGAAGTGAGCTGCAAGCACATAACGAGAAAAAGCCAAGGTACCTATATATTTTCTGAGTCAAATATACCAAAAAATACATAGAATGTATTGCATGGTTATAGAAATAGGTTCGTTTCCATATCAGGTTCACGGAAACATTTCAAATAGTTTTCTACATTGGGGATGTTGCTCTATGAACATGTATGTTTCGAATAAAATGCAATATTCAACATTTAAAAAAAATTAACATACAACCTTTTGTTGTTTTGTACGGACATCGATTGAAGAAAAATGCAATTATGAACAAATAAATAATTTCCAAGTAGGAATAAATTTGAGATTAAAATGAATTTGCTTTATAGGATAATGATCGATAATCACCTCCGAAATGATTAGTTGGACGTGAAAATTTCACCTTCGAAATGACATTGGACATTGGACCATCGAGACGCAGTCTCGGTGACTGATAATTAGAAACTAATTAATTTGTTTTTAGTAAACCCGGTCGTTTACTAGGCACTCAAAAATTGCGTTACAGTGGATACTGATATCACATATTGACTTCTCCAATTCCAATTATTGAATTATTTTAAAGATTTCCAAAAGCAGGTGGGTTTTAATCATAACTTGCTTTGACGAAAATACTCCATCTAAAATTTTTTCATAAGGTCGCTGCATGCACTTACCGTAAGCGTAATGATTTTGTCGAAGAGCATAGCGGGCGCCATGTGGAAATCAAACACGAAGTACTGCCAGAGAAATTGAAGTACAAAAGTATATTAAATTTATGTATGGGTGATATCAATTAGGGTTCATTAAAGCATACTGCACCATGAAAACTACATACCTTTTCAAATTAACATTAGTTAAAAATCTGACGGTTTGCGCTCTTCATTTACTGACTACGAACTTCTAATTTATCAATTTAATATATGTTCCAAAGACGAAGATATCGCTGGTAATAAATGAGACAATATTTACAATAAAATTCCCTGAAAATGAAAATAACGATCACGGTTTAAAGTTCCCGAGTAGCCGCCATGCATTCATTACATGCGGGTTGAGTGCTCACTTCGTTGTAGTAAGGGCAGTTAGTGGACTCCTTGACGGAGGTGTATTTCTTGACGTCGCCGATCTGTACACACACCACCGGGTCCATGTTCAGGCCTGCGAGCTGTCGTGCCTCAATCACCGTAATGCAAACCTGTTCAATTAATTTCCAAATGATTACAGCAAACTTGTTAACAAGCATTTAATACGTTGCGAAAAAAATATTGCCTCAATTACCGTAATGCAAACCTGTTCAATTAATTTCCAAATGATTACTACAAACTTGTTAACAAGCATTTAATACGTTGCAAAAAAATTATTGCCACAATCACCGTAATGCAAACCTGTTCAATTAATTTCCAAATGATTACAGCAAACTTGTTAACAAGCATTTAATACGTTGCAAAAAAAATATTGCCTCAATTACCGTAATGCAAACCTGTTCAATTAATTTCCAAATGATTACTACAAACTTGTTAGCAAGCATTTAATACGTTGCAAAAAAATTATTGCCACAATCACCGTAATGCAAACCTGTTCAATTAATTTCCAAATGATTACTACAAACTTGTTAACAAGCATTTAATACGTTGCGAAAAAAAATTTCCTCAATCACCGTAATGCAAACCTGTTGAATTTATTTTAAAATGATTACAGCAAACTTGTCAGTAAGCAAAAAAATACGTTGCAAAAAAAGTTGTTATATGCCTGTTAGTAACAATGGTTCGGTGAGAACTGAATTCATTCATTGAGTGTCATGAATTAGTCAAAAATTTATTGTGTATATAGGGCAAAACAATTTATTTGACGCTTATTAAAAATTTGTCAGTATTTCAGCCACCGTTCTATACTGTATATACTCATGTATAAATTATAAAATAAAATACAAGCAAACTTTGCTTGAAATTCAGCTATTAATGTCTTGGTCACACTGAATACAGCCGGTTCTTGAAAACCTATTTATTTATTCTCAAGTTATACATTCATTCAAGATGATAATTTTGGAGCAACGCACGTTCATCACCATCACTGTATGTCCCAACATCACGATCTATTCATGATCTCATTTAATGCCATGAGAAGATTGCAATTAAAACGTTGTCGGGTCAAAACTTGGTTGGAATTTCTTTGATATTTATAACTTGGTTCACTCACAATAATGAACGGTTAGGGCGTAGAATGATGGTACTGCAAATTATAAATAAAAGTATTTGTGCTCAGGGTTCATGTGCAGAAAAGGCAAATAAAAAAATGTTTATAGCTGTTTTGATACTGCATCTTTCATTCATTCACATGAAATTAGTGCGAAGTAAAGCGGTAAAAAGTGAATTAATTCATCACGTATGGGCAATTTAGCGACTATAATTATTAATAAATACGCAGTTGAAGTTATGTTGCGAGTCCGTAACTTGACATAAGTTAATAATTAAGATAGAAGAATCAAACGTATAGTAAAAAATGCATTATACATGATTTTGGAACTCGACAGCAGTTTCTAGCAAAACCAAAGTGTTACCAGGTAAATTTTACATTATGATTATCTATCGTAATATTTTCTCGTGATATATTCCATAAAGTCTTCATAAATTCACCTGAAAGTCTTGGGCTTTTAGCTCAGCAGGTGTGGCGTTGACGGTGTCTGATCGATGTCTGTTCGGGAACAAGGGAAATTCAGTAGATTATTTTTTTTAATTCAATGAATTAGAGTTGCTCATAAAACGAAACCAATAAATTTTATTTGATATTAATTTTTATGGAGACCCTACGGACAAATGGTATTGAAACAACGTTAATTCGTTGAACAGCTAATATACAATGCAATTTAAACCCCAAATAGCTGGTAGAGAGAGAATATTTTCTTTTAAGATTAATAGCTCTTCGTCTGACGTGCATCCTCTACCTAATTAAAGCAAAAAATTTTCTGCAGGACATGTGTAAAGAAACGCGAAACAGATTTTTAAAAGTTTTCATAATATACTTTCATTTTCTACCTCAGAATAATATTTTGCATCAAGAAGTATAGAGTTCAATGAAAAATATAAAAAACTTATTTAAAATTACTTACATAAAATTAATTTATTCAATATATTTCCTAGTAAAGCATTATTTCTGCTCTCTCGCTGTAGAAACACGTATGTCTCTTAATTTACTCATATATATTCAGACAGTTGTTTCAATTTTTCTATATATTCATAATATTTCACTAGAATATTAAAAAATTTTCATAAAACGTTTCGATCATTCCCGTAGATATTTAAATTGCCACTTAAAAATTCATCGTAGATATTTAAATTGCCACTTGAAAATTCATCGTAGATATTTAAATTGCCACTTGAAAATTCATCAAGTAATTCGCAAATACATTCTATAATTGCCAACTGCTGAGATTCTAGCGCCGTCAGAACGAGTTCATGTAATCACAATCACATATTCATGTAATCACAATCACATATTCATTTCATTTAACTTGCATATCCCTATGTTTCCGGGAAGATGTTATTATCGAGACACAGAGCAAGCAACAGTCAAGCTCTATATTGAATTGCAAAGCTATAACAGCGGGGAATAAATAAATTGATAATGAGGATTACATGTAATAATAATAGACAGGTACAATTTGCGCCTCATTAAGTGTGAAGAAAACTATGTCAAAAGACAAGTAATTTAATAAGTTATTTTTGAGTAGACAAATTTCCAACTGAACGATAATTTTTCTTTAAAAATCCGGCAATATTAACGTAGGTAGAATTAGGATAAGCTTAAAAATTATGTGCCATACCGCGACGAATTTTCTCGATGCAATCGTTCACTACGCTTGTCTAAAGCTTGGAGGAGATAACTAATAGAGCTAACGCAGGGTAATTGAGGACTTGATGTATTTGCAAACAACGATAAGAGATCAAACGAGACGCTCATTAAACGAGGCAAACTGATAGCAAACTGGGTCGATTATTCACACGCGATCAAAAGAGGCATCGTAATTAAGGAAAATATTGCCATATCCAAACAAGCATCGAATGCACTCGATATCAACACATCATGCAATTACCATCTATAGCGTGCACCCACTGATTAATAATGCTATTTATTGACGTGTGCCTGATAAGAACTTTTATAAACTTAACTTAAATATAAGGAGTAATATTGCCAAGTTTGTAATCGAGTATAATCTAATTATTATTAATTTTTCATTAATTTCAAAATTACGGTCGAGACTGCAATAAAAACGAATCTAAAAATAAAACGATACATCTTCACGCTTAAATAGAGAAATTAGAAAGTAAATAGTAGTCCATTACAGTTTTTCCAACTACATGATGCGACCGGGAAAAGTTATCGACTCGAGTTTCCTGCAACTTAAAAGTAATACCAAACATCATTATAATAATTTCAATTAAAAAAGTTGCAGAATATTGCGAATCGAGTGTACATTGCTAGAAATCTGCCCAATAACTTTTCACTGATTTAAGTTCAGTCGAAAATATCCTTGGGAAAATTTGACGAAGTCGAAGTTAGGGAGGCAAACATTTTGCCGAATTTTTTAAGATTCCATCTAAAATTGAGGGAAAGGGAATTAGAATCGAGAGCCTCCAGCTTTTGTCATCATAATTACCTACAAAAAAATAGTAAGTAGGAGAGAAGGAGATAATTGCATTTAGATTTCAGTAAGAGAAAGAGTTCCTTAAAACCAGTTTTTCGTTTAATAAGACACACAACTCGTTTTATAAAAAAATGCTGCTGTGATGAAACGCGAAACTGATCTACACACAGTACGATTGAGTTGATTCTCACGAACTAACTAAAGCTATTTCATGCCAAAATCATTAAAGTGAAACCAAGAGCCATGTAAGGTTATGAGTTCTTTACACAAGCAAGGGAAGCAACATGCATCTCAAATTGACCGATGCATACTGAACCTAGATTGAATTTTATTTCAATTCCACAACAATAAACAGGAAAATTCGGAAACGCCTCGCACGAATTCTTACCCAAAATTGGATAAAGAAAACCGATACCCATGACTGGAGCCAAAATGCACTTGGGTCGCTCAACATACACCGTAGGAAATTGTCTTGCAAGAGTCAGCTAGGCTCCTTTTCACAGGATCGCGTTACGGTATCTTGCGCTCCTTGTGATCGTATAAAGGAAAGGCTGCGCATTTCCTGGTCTCAGTGAAAAAAGGCTGAGTGGTCTTTAATCGCAGTAAGAAAAGGCTACGTATCTTTTAATCGCTGTAAGAAAGTGTTGCGGGTCCTTTGGTTGGTTTCAGAAAAGACTACGCGTTTTCTGATCGCAGTAAAGAAAAGGTTATGCGACTTTTGATCGCTCCTATAAATGGCTACGCGTTTTCTGATCGCAGTTAAGAAAAGGCTACGGGTCCTCTGTTCATATAAGAAAATGCAACGCGTCCTTTGATCGCTATAAGAAAATGCTATATGCCCTTAGATCGCTTCAATTGGAAAGGCCACACGTCCTTTTATCGAAATCAGAAACCGCTACGCCCTTTTTTTGATCCCCAGAAGAAAAGGCTATACGAGTCGCATGTAAGCATAAAAAAAGGGTTACAGGTCCTATCTTATTGTCGATGTAAGGCTGAGATACTCGCATTAATTGCGAACGTGCCAAAAAATTTCTCGCCTCTCGTAAAGATGGTAGATGTATGACCACGGTACATGGAAGCTTAGAACCCTTATCATCAGCTAGGCCTGCTATGGTAAGGGAATACAGCACACTTTGATCGTCGTGAGGCAATCCTACAAGACGTTGAAAAATGTTCAGCTGGTTTTGTCAGTGAAAAGATGTTGCGTGCGTTTTGTGTGTAAGCTGATGTTGTGTGCGGCAAGTGAGTGAGAGAATGATGCACGTGTTTAGCGAGTGAGTGAAATACGTGTGAGTGGCCATGAATGTCTACTGAAGACTCCTAACTGTCAACGCTACTTATAGACGCTCATGAGCTAAACGGCGAACAGCCTTGCAGCAGCGTAGTTTGTAATCGGTATTTAATACAACACTCCTCATATAGCTATAAGTGAAAATCTTCATATATGCCTCCACTTGATCCTGGCACAGCGTATTAGTGAAAAACATTCCGTCAGTTATGGTTCCACCTCTGGATTTTCATTTAATTTTTTATTCGTATAAATCCGAGAGTTCATGAGGTTCAATATATAACAAAAATTATTTTTCATTATTGCGAGCATTGTTTGCATTTACAAATTCAGATAGTATGCCTTAAAGAATTGAAAATTTCTATGGAGGAAATTATATTGTATATCACAAACCCTTGTATTGCTAAGTTTATTGAAGCATTTATTGCTAAATTCAAAAAATCTGCATCGACTGAAAGCACGTGGAGATTAAATGAGACGCCATAAATTTAATAAATTTTTGGCTTCGATTACTTTTATATAGTCACTTCAAACGTCGAATTCATCGGGAATTTAAAATTTATGTGTAACTGTAATTTTGTTTCGATCACTTTATGATAATAAAATCTGACTGCAATCATGGTTTTGGATAAAACTGACCACGAAAAAACGTGCACCTAGAAAAGGTCTTGTATTTGTGAAATTCTGTTTGTTGTACCAGTGACCTGGATTCCCATAGCACGGCAACCTGTAATCCACCGATAATTTCGTCCGTGTAAGAGCAGGCACTGCCGGCCGTAACCGATCCCATCGAATATTGGCTGACCCACAAACACCAAATTGTTTAAAATTGACGGTGTAACGTCCGCCTTTAAATTTCCGCTACAGATTGATTTAAAGCTGAAAAGTACATAAATTTTCTTCCCCGAAAACTGATTATTATTGTGAGCAGTTTATTTTAAAGCGAAGTACTGCAAGTGCACAGCATGCATCATACGTTCCATAAATCCCATTCTTACATATTTTCTTAAATAAAAAGCATCTGAAATTTCAGGGGCTCATTAAACCGGTCAAAAGCCTAAGCTAATAGTACGGAAGTGGAGTGAGTGAGGCAGAAATTAAAATCTGACTGTCAGCTCTCGCCGCTAACGAGCGTTTTGATCTTCAGGAAGGGAATCGGGTACAGAATCCTGCTATATATGAGACAAATAAAGAAAACTTTGCTCCTAAATTATTCAAGCAATGCCACTAAATAACACTTTTTTCCTAAATTTGAAAATATTGATGCTCGGCGCTGTAGAATTTATTTGAAGCCGACAGAGAAAATTGCATCGCTTTTTAGGGATGTCGGTGTAAAAATAAAACCGAACTTGAAGATGCTACTATAAAGTTTTTTGGTATTTGTGTTACAAGTTTCCGCAATGCACCTCATAAAATAGGCTCTTTATGAGCGGGATGTGGAACTTTAAATATTGCGAGAGAATAAGGTTCAAAGCAACGTTCTTTTGCTGAAGAACGACAGAGCATTGCCCAGCCTACACTCAAGCCATCATATAGGCGAACGCCGCAGTTCACGAATGATGCTCATCCATTCACTAAAATATTCTTAATATTGACACTATTATTTCCTGAAATGCTCAGTCGTGAAATTTTTACCGATTTCAATAGTGCATTGCACCCATAATCTGTAACGTAGAGTAGGCACTTTGTATGGGTGGTAATTTTATAATGATGTTTAGCGAGCATCGTTGACTGACGCGATCGAAAAATTAAAGACAGAGAGATCGGGAGAGTGAAATTACCACACAACGCCATTTACTCTAAATACACACACACACACACACACACACACACATGTTTAATAAATTCCCAAATCCCGTTTTACTTCAGAATCTTAATATAAAATTAATCCTGCAGAGAAATGAGTTACTTCTTATTAATTGTGATTTTTCTTTTCACGCTTATCATTGCTTGTTTGCAATTACCTTTTAGCGGGCTGGGTGGCATGTGCAGACGCCGACGAATCGTTCTCAGACTGCGTCGAGCAGACCGAGTGCGGCCTGCTAGGCGGCTGCTGGTGAGCGCTCGCCCCATCAGTCAAGCCAGGCTCGGCCCGCCTGTGAGCAGACACTGCAGTCACCCCCGCAGAGTGCAGGGGTAACTTATCCTCCTCGTCTGTGGTGTTGCCGGCACTCTTGCTGCGTTGCCGCCCCAGACGAACCAGTGAACGTACGGCCTTCATGCCCGTGCTGAAGCCGCGACTGTTGGACGCGAGGTTCGTATTAGAGAAAAGCGATTATTCCTCGAGATTACATGAGCAAAATCATCACTGGGCCAAAGCCAAGACTGTTTGACATGAGATTCGTGTAAAAAAAATTAGAGATGCGAAAAGATTAGATTTCTCGAGTTACAGAAGAAAATACCTCTTGCCTGCGATTGATGGACGTGAGATTTGTGTCAAGAGTCAGACAGTCTAAACATGATTTGAACCTTCATGCTCTGAAACCGCGGCTGTTAGAGGAGAGTACGGACTCCTTGCGCATAGATATATCCATAAAATGCATCGTGAGTGGTAACAGAAAAAAAGAATTAGTTGCAATCTTAAGAAGATCGGCTATCATTGAAGATTACTTGATTAATGGAAATTTGTGAGAAAATCAGGATATGTGTGATGCTTTGTCTGATAGGAGGCTAGTCAGTGCATTGCCCACCTATTCTCCTGTTATTTATTGCACGGCCTCAATATAACGTTATTTTCTTCGTTTAATATGTTTTGCCCTAAAACAATTCATTTATATTGGCAATGTTATTTGAAGACAGAAGCAATTGAGGGTAGTTCGTATTATTTATTGGGTGTGTTCAGCAAAGAACGATCCTCTGTATAATTAAAAGGATAGTCCCGACTGGAGCTACTTCGCTGTTGCTCTTGTGCATCAAAGTGTGAGCAAGGTCTTGGCTTCCATTGGTTAACGAACGATCAGGGGCAGCTGTAACGCTTGCACGGAGCGCGTTCGGATGACACTGCCGCGACAACCAGGTGTGCTGTTGCTACCAGCGGTAAATTTTAATATTTGCCTACTAAATATGCAGATATAATAGTGAATTTAAAGATAAATAAAACCCACCGATTAAGTAATTCGATTAACACCGAAAAAAAGTACCTAAAGGGATTGGTCCACTTAAGAGGCAAGTAGCCAAAATTAGACAAATGACGATGACAGACTAGTAAGGACGATAATGATAATAAGAAACCAAGGCTAGCCAAATTAAAAGTTTCAAAGTGCTAGTATTGTCATGCAATTAGTAATACAATTTAATTTAATTGGCCAGGCTATTAATAACGAAGTGAATAGCATGCGGAAGAAGATAATTGTTGTGTTACTGTCCACTTCGTTTAAATTTAAAGACCACGCAAGAAACGCGGGAAATTTAATGTAGAATTTCTAATTTGCAAAAATGCAAAATTTAATTTCTACCATTTAATCAAATTTGATTCTGTTTAATTTCTTCCAATATACGTAATTTCCTTTGAAACTCTGAATTCAATAGTACATTAGTATCGGTTGCGGCATTTTAAAGTCAAATTTGTCCGAGACTTCAGCCCTCTTCACGATATACGAAGAGCTTATTGTTTTGAATATCGGGACTGCGATAACTGCGTTAAGATAACAATGATGCACATAAAGCATTTTCATTTTATTCGATCACAGGCAAGCAACAAGAGCTGCCGGTGCTTTGAAACAAATAACAGCACAAAATTTGGGAGTAAGTGCAGTACTGCTTAGACTTTCAACTACCGAAATATCCTTGAAATCTAGTGATGCCAAATATTATTAAGCACTGATTACCAAAATATCTGTCTCCAAATACGATCTATCTCAGCAATGCAATGAAGATTCTTCCAGTAGCGAAGTCATTCAGGAGAGGATGCATTGCTTTGAGATCATAGGCTGAGCTTGCGAATTTGAACGCAGCAGCGACTATAGCTGGCCTTCTAGCCCAATTTGACGACACGACGCCCCAGAGAACACAGGCACTAAAACGTTATTGTCTCGACGAATTTCAACCCCCGAAATGTCCAGGACCAATAACGGTCAGTGAGAACGTAACATATATTGCGTATATTGCCGCTTTAAAAGCCAGAGATTGTCCATGTAAAATAAAGGAATGGTTTTCTTCGATTATGCAGCCTCAAGTCATTGTGAGCAAAACGAGTAAAACAATTTAGCTCAGGAAGTTAAAATCTAGCGACAAATTCCCCAAAGTGAAGGAAGATTCTGCTGGCTTCAATTGTAGTAGTCAAGTCGGATTGTGTTTGACAAGCTCTCTGTCTTGACTTGGGAAAATCTTATCAGATTTTAAATGTGCATGGTTTATTAGGCAAATTTAGACGACAAACAAGGGCCAAAGAAGGCTACACGGCCAATGGGAAGGCTATACCCGGCCAGAGAAGAGTTATGCAGGCAGAGGTGGGGCACTTAATTAATTTCAACAGCAAGCAATTTCTTGCAGCCCACTCCACATAAGCAGCGAATTGGCCCACTCAACAAGTTCATGCAGCCAATCTCACTCGGAAACTAACATTCGGTGAGCGAGATCGCGCGACCGATGATATTACAGTTGTTACGGCCACTATGAAACACACAGTCAGTAACTTCAACTGATAAACTTCTTATGGCCAGCGAGATTAAACGGCCAGTGAGTGTAAGCTCATGGATGTAAGCGTGCATCAGGTGGCCCAAATGAGGGCGGATGAACGATAATCAGAGGCGGCGATCCATCGTGGCCTGGGACTGCTATGTCCCAAACAAATACTAAGGATACTAACGAATGCCTCACGTGGCCAGTGCATGAGTGTACGCTCATGGACTCCTCACAGGGCCAGTGAGTGTACGCTCATGGACTCCTCACAGGGCCAGTGAGTGTACGCTCATGGACTCCTCACAGGGCCAGTGCGTGCACACTCATGGACTCCTCACACGGCCAGTGAGTGTACGCTCATGGTCTCCTCACGGGGCCAGTGAGTGAGGCAGTCTGCCTCACAAGGCAGACCGCTGGCCAGGTGCAGCCTGATGAGTCCTGCAGCTTCCCTTGCTACATCCCCTTTAACGACCACACGAGCGCTGGCTTAATCGCGCAGCACGGAAATACGAAGAAAAAGTTCCGTCTTGCTCTTCCTGTCTTGATTGGCCCCCGTTCAAATTACTCTGCAGGGTGCTTGTCGCGTCACAGAACAAGACGTGGCGCTTTGGCCATAAAAGTATTCTGCGCATGGCATATTGTCATTGACTAAAAGATAAAATAATACAAAAAATACTGGAGAAATTCAAAATCGCAAACCGTACACTTTTGATGCTCCTAATGTTAAGGTTCTAGGCACCACGAAAGAGGGCTATTTGCTGAATCAGTTACTCACTGGTCGTTCACTCTTCATCTCTCATGTGAATTTACTCACCTTTTTCTCGGAGTGTCTGGTGAAGATTCTTTGCTTCTGTTCTTATTAGCATTGGCTGATATTCTCTCCTGCATGCTCATCGACTTCTCAAGGTTTGCAATGTTCTGCTCGACATTTAGTAGCATTTGCTTTTCATCCTGATCGCTGTCACCAGCCCGAGGTCCGCTTGTTCTTTGTGACTGAGAAGCACCGATTTCATCAACAACACGAAGCACGGCGGGCTCCCCGGCCTCAGGTCGATCGTAAACGGGGATATGAAAGTCTCTTTGGTCGTCGCTAGAATCGTTCTCGTCTTCCCCCAACAAAGTTTGGTTCTGAGGAGGCTCAACTCCTTGAGACAAAACTTGCCCACCAGTTGCTGGTGTGGCAGCAACAGGTTGACCTTCTATGGTACTACTTCTTCCGTAGGCGCCAAGTTTCTTTTTTTCCGTGCCAGAGTCACGTCTGCTTCTTCGACTCAATGAATCTTCTTTTGATGAATGACCTCGTTCGGGTGTATGAACAGAATGGCGCTTTCCGGCTTCGCTTGAAATGCTCTTTTTGCCCGCATCAGTCACCGACGATCTTTTCTTTTCACTAGCGAATGATGATATTTTCTTAGTTGTCGAGCTCAAGAAACTGGAATTTGTCTTGCCTTGAATAAGACTCTCCTTTTCGTTCTCTCTCCCGAAACTATCAATGCTGGAGTCTCTTGTCCGTCTTCCTTCGGCACATTCGCTGCCCTGGCGACTCAAGCGACCTGCTCTTTCGCCCTCCCCTTCGTCGTCGGGACCACGGGTCTTTGATGCGCTTCTTGAGGCTTCGGCTCTCCGCGCCACTTCAGCTTTGCTCAAGGGAGGGGTGTAGCGAGCTTCGAATGCTAGTCTTGTCTGGGAACAACGTAAACTAATTATTGATAACTGTACGAATGATATAATTAAAACATCTTTAAATTTGATTTGGACAAAGACAATGAAAAGTACTTTGTCAATGAAATACAAAATTTTGGTTTAGACAAAGTCAATGAAAAATACTTAGTTGTCCTCCAAACTGTTCATCACTGCGTGGCTGCAGATCTTTGAAACGTTCAGATGAATTGAAGCAAAACACCCGTTGCTACTTTAGTATAGAAGATAATTAATTACTTGAGCCATACTTCACCCCTGATCAAGTCATAGACTATAAATATTAAAACTAACTGAAACGTGCAGAAATTCCGCGTAGAACCGAAGTCAGAAAGACTCAACATCGGCAAAACGGGCTTCTGGAAAATAAAAACCGAGTTAATCTGCACACACTAAGTTAGAGTGCAAGCAACGCTGTGAACTCGTTAAGTTTCAAAATCATCAAACGTGTCAGCGCAATCCCGCATGATCAAATAGTTAAAAAAACATCCTAGTGCTTTGCGATAGACTCCAAATATGTAACTGTTCAGTCTTTGAATCACAATCCAAAACAATGACAGGCATGAACACCATGTAGTTTAGGCGAGAAGCAAATAAGCAAACGCCTTGCCACGTTCGACAAGATTCACTGGGCGTCGGTGCGCCGTCAGCCCTGAGGGATGGCGCGGGCTAATTGACGACACAGGATGTGTGCCCGACAATCTGTCCGACCTGCTTTTTGCACCGGGAGCAAATAATCTTGAAATGAAGCAGCTGGTGTTTTACTTAAATCTTATTCTTTTTTTCAACGTTATTAAAAGCATTTAAGGTGAATTTGCATCTGCACATTTTTTCCCCCTTTACACTGTTCGTTCTGCTCATGTAGTCGGTAATTTTCACTAAAACTTCATGTTCGGCGTAGGCAGTTTGACCAAAGGCTCATTCATTGACGGCAGTTACTGTTTAGTTTATTTTATCATTGGAAGTTCATCACGGATTCTTCATGTACATAATTTTATGAAAGTAGAAGTTCGACTGTTTTGCGAAACTTCAATTTTAAAGAGATTTGCAAAATACTTGGATTCACTTCTTTGATTTCTTACTCTGAAGACGTTTTTAAATATAAATGTGCATGGTATCTGACATCAATCACAGTGACATTTTTATTATACGTGGTCAGGTGTTACATTGAAGCAGAAGAATTTACGCTAAATTCTGCGAAATGCAAAATTTGATTATATTCAGAAATTAATAATAATTGCTTGCTCCTAATTTGTAAAAATTTGCTCCTAATTTGTTCGTAAATTCATATTTCTTCATGTGAAAAAGTACAACGAAGTTAAACATAAATTACTCCAACGTCAAATACCAAAATAATTGATCACGGCGCCAATTAAAAAAAAAGACTTATCCCTAAAATTCAAAACAAGCCTGAAAAATTACACGGCCGGAAGAGACAGTGTAGATCGCCAGTCGAATAATTAAAAGTATAAAAACTTGTTTCGCTGTTCCTGACAGTAATTAATGAACCGTATAATTCATGGCGCTGGAATCGAATGAATCTTTTACGATTTGGAAACGGTTGAGATTCTAAAGACAATTTAATTACGTTGCTTGATAAATTGGCTGATTCTAATTAATTTAGCATTTTAATTCGAATATAAACAATAATTCAACTTGCAGTTTAATTTATACAAAAACAGTAAATCTGATGCATTAAATTTACATTATCGGTATATCAGATATTTTATATCTGTATATCAGGTATATGAATATTTTATACCTACACCTGATGTGCGCATGCCCGCAGCGGAGACTTGAAATGTATTTTGATCCTATTGCTGTTACATCATGACAAATTGTCCGGCCAGCCGCTCTTGTTTTTTTTAAGTACACCTATGATTTTTTGAAGTACAGTAAAAAATAACGATAAATACTGATATATAATTAATTTTTGCTGAAAAATATATATCTTCAAAGCTCACTTTATAATAATGGTTTGCGAAAAAGTACTTCGTATATCATATAAAATTTACTGTAGACCTTCCGTTTAATTTGAATAGTTTGGAGTAATCCGAAAAAGTAGCTAAGCCGACTAACTTATCTACCCAAGGCATGTTATCAAATGCAACTTAGATTTAGGTAATAATGTCGGAAAACTTTGGAGACCGGAAGTTTGTCGTGTGTTTTTTATTTAGTTTCTAGCTACGACTGCAATCAAGATATTCTATGTATGAGTTACTTGGACTAAAGTTGATGTACAGCATCCTATAGACAGAAGATTATTTCATTTGATGTTATTTGCCTGAGAACAGTTTATATGTGTCCAAAATACACAAGAAGATTTAAAAACCTTCGGAATCAAGCCTCCCTAACATGGGTGTCGGCACCCATGAAATAGGGGCCGGCTAGGATTCGGGAAGTACGTAAATCAATCGCTCCATGTCACCTTCGGCTTAGGGTTTGAAAGGCAGCCTCTGGGCCGCTTGTGAGCTCTGTGTGACTCGGCTCGGCCAACTCTTTTCATACTCTCAGGCGACTATTAAGCTAGGCCGCTTACTCACCTTGATAACTTTGTTGTTGGAGTCGGTCATGTGATCGGTGATGGCGATATGGCCCTCAGAGACAAGTCTGTGCAGCACAAGACCATAGGACGCTGCGACTTTATTGCTGAAGTATCGGCTGTAGATCTGCAGCTGAATCTCCACCACCTCTGATGGGTCCAGAGGCCGACCCATGGGCCACTCCAGCACCTGGTGAGTGCAGGGCCGAGGATTAAGGTAAATAAATTTACTCGCACATGTATTGAGGTAGGTACATATTTTAGAAACAAGTTCTGCAGTTTGAATCGAACAGATAGAAAAACATTAGATGTTAAGTTTTTATATTGGCTACAACTATTCTTTTCATTTGGTATAAGCCTGAAACTAAAGTTGTGGTAATATAAATATCGGCTAAGCGAGATCGATATTAGGTTTATTAGTGACGCATCCAAAGTTAGTGCTGATATTATTGACTTATCGCAAAATCTATCAAATTGACTGCCGCTACTAATAAAATTCATCAAAAAGTAGGTGCCCGATGCTAAGATTAATTAAAGAATTGGAGCCGAAGGAGCAAAATTTATAATTGTAGATACATCAAAATTGTTGTACTAAAAATCAGTGCGTAAAAACCAGTGCACTGCAACAAACGTTCACCACAGTCGGTTGCCTACCTCGTCGAATAGCACGTCATCGCTTTCTTCTTCCACAACTCGAGTGAAGAGCGATACTCCTGTAACGTAAGAATAACTCGCTTTAAATAACAATTATATTATTTTATTCCATTGTTCCGCTAACGATTTCTGAAGGTTGAGATCAAGTGTGTTTCAGAACTAAAATACAGATCAAAAAGTTGAGCTTGGATAATTTTTTGGATGAAGACTCGTGTCTTTTGAATCAATAACCAAATATAAGAAATGCTCATGAATCATTCATACCCAGAAACAACTGAAAATAATTAATTTTTTATCCTTGAGTAGAGTGAAACCGGCCTTGAAAAGCGTATTAATTTTTTTTGTCGCACGCCACTAAGTTTGATGGATTGACACTGTCAATCTAGTGGATTGACACTGGATTGACATTACTGGATGGATAACCTCGCAGTAATGGTATACTATATTATATATAACCATACTGCTTGCACGGCACACTTCAGAAAGAATCAAGAGACTTGAGATAAATATCGATTAGACGTCAATAAACGGGCAATAACAAAGACTATACTTTTATACAATTCAGGAACTAAAATCTTTAGCTGTTATATTCATCGTGCTACTTTTTTAAGATATATCATATATAAATTCTTGATATTGCAAGTTTCCTTGGTTACGAGGTGGTCAATGCATTTATCTTGCGGAAACTATCCTACTCAGAATGATTTTACTTATTCCTCGCAATTCCATCAAGCTAACTGGCAGTCAAATGACCTCGTGATGGTCACTTTATCCTCAATAGCTGTCAAATAATACCAAGGCTATCACTCTCGCTTCATTGACTCGCATAAACCAGCTGGGTATCCCATCTGCCTTACTGTCTGTCCAATAAACGGTCCTTCTATCTTCATCACTGTGGCTGTTGAACAGAACACGTGCCTAGACATGCAGTTCCCCAAGTCGACTAACTCGCTATTATCTTATGGCTTCCTTATAGTAAACTTATAGAAGTAAACTCGTGTAATTATGAGGTCGAAACAAACACATTTATTTCACTGTTATTTCTTGCCTATGAAATTATGAACAGATAACAGCTATGAAATTTTTGAGCTGATGATTCAACGCGTCAGGCTTCGAAAGTTAAACTCAAGACACGCCTGGCATGGCAGAGCTGACCGTACGACATGGGATATTAAGCTGAAATTCCCATGTATGATATATAAAAGTTTCTTAAAATAAGTTATAAAATATGTCTATTAATCGCAAGTTCTGAAGCAGTATTAAGGGTAATACATTCCTCTTTTTTTGTGAATGGAATTTGTCTCTCACTACCTCGCTTTTGTCTCTTATCTAACTTATTCACTGACGCAATCATTTTGCTGTGTCATTCATACCTGCAAAATCTTCCCTCGGTGCACGAAACTTTTTATTATATTTCACAATTATATGAATTTTACGAAAAATTTATGAATGATGTGAAACTATAACGTCGTTACAATTTGCTTTGATAGCTTCTTAAGAGACTAAGGCCAGTAAGTATCGATTCAATTACATTAAATTTCTGCCTTTAAATCACTGATTTCTTCTATTGATACTTCTATTGGATACAATTTTAATTTCTTTCGTGTAATTATGCGCTAATTTGTCCGGCTGCAAACAATACAATTGAATATCATTTGCAGTGCGGTAAATCATGACAGCCATCACGTGTGTCAACCAAGCAATGAGTTTGATTCTCTGCTCGGCTGGGAAGCGCCAGTGCGGCTTCAAGAGCTGAACGCTTGCGTGTCATTCCATGCAATTGCTTCCGGCCGTATGTGACAAGAATGCCACCGCATTTATAGACTTGAAACTTTCAGGTATAAAATTCACCTCCCTCCCATTCCCACACAGCGTCAGTCAACACACATGAATATATGTAAAAATTTAGAATTTTAGCAATTAAATCATTGAGATACAAGAACGTCGTATTAGTATGACATAATTTCAGATCAAATAACACCAATTTGAGAACCTAAAACATGTAATATTCCTCAATATTATTTGGTTCACAATTCACGTACGCAAATATGAGGAGCAAAATTAATTATCTGTAATTTTAATGTTAATGGATCATAAGAATACAACAAATATATGTACTAATATACTCACCTCTGAATGTGACTTTTGCGACTTTGTCGCCTTTCAGGGGCACCCTGGCGAACTGGCGGACAAAAATCTGAAGTGACATGACGGCGACCAATTTTTATGGACTGACAAGATTCGGCCAATCGTCCAGCGGAATCTGAAGAGGTGCTTCTTCAAATCAACCTCTTCGAAGCTGAAGAGATTCGAGATGAAGGGATTGAATAGGCTGCTTCGACTTGCATTTAAGCTCTTCCGTGGACTTCCGTAACCTGTACTTCGCGAAGCCTCTCATTTTGATCAGATTTTGGACTAAATTCTAACTCGGAGTGCACATTTTGGGAGTTGTGAGGACAATTTCCACGCACAATATTTCAGTGCCTGCATCCATTGTTGGCTGAGGTCGGAGAGGCTGGGCTCATAATGTTGTTAATTTAAACCAAATGAAAATAGATTGTGAAACACTAAAGCTGCAGATACCTCCGATCAAAGTTTTTTAATTTGATTTGTAATAATTTTGCACTCTATTACGCTTTAATTATTGCTTCCACGTCAGCCTCTGCAGCCTCTGAGGAAAAAAATTGAGAAAAATCGTGCATTATGGTTCATCATTACAATAAATTTCACGTCTGTTGATGTTATTGGTGCACTCTTCACATCCCAGGTTACATAATACATTCTGAAACATTATTATACATCTGGCACGGCGTTGCTAAGTAACTCCATGTTCAGAGAGAATAATTGCCTAGCTCAACGCTCAAAATATGCTTCCGCATGCGCGCAAATATTTTTGAAAGATATGCATCCTCGAATCTATATTTGATAGGTTTATTGATTTTAACTAAGTTGCTAAGAAACTCCATGTTCAGAGAGAATAATTGCCTAGCTCTACGCTTGAAATATGCTTCCGCATGCGCGCAAATATTTTTGAAAGATATGCATCCTCGAATCTATATTTGATAGGTTTATTGATTTTAACTACCACGAGTATTTGCATCTATTTTTAATAAATGCTTTCTATTTTTAAAAATTTTAAAAAACTTTCGTATATAACTGTATCTATATATTTTAGAGTTATATCGATTGAAGCTTTCATGTGCACTTGTATTTATTTAAATAAACGTGTATCGGTAGACGCTCAGATGCACATACCTGTATCAGTTTCAGCAATGAACGGCGATTGAAGCTTTCATGCATGTTTGTATGCCTTTTTCAAGTATATCAATAAATAAATGATATCAAATCAATATATCACGATATTTAGCCGGGCATTCACATATAATGGAAAGCATCAGGAGGTATTTCATCAGAACCATAAAGTTTGCCCTTCACGTTACTCGACTGAATGACTTCTCGTTTATCAGAAGCGACACGTCGACCTAGAAAGACACGACGACTTCAAGTGCCTAATAGAAATATAATATAATATAATGCCTAATATAATAATATTTATTTTTAATTTGGAAATATGATGTACAAATGAGATTATTACAAAATATAAGGTTCAATAATATTATATATCTCCGGACGATTAACATTGATTTTGTTCATTTTATGCTGAATATGAGTAGAAGAATGGAAAAAAATGAAATCAAATTTGAAGAAAATAGGAAAATTTTGCATACATAAATAAAATACTCTTTTAATTTACCGCTGAGGAATAGTCCATGGTAGGAATGACATTTTAACATTTGTGAAAATTTGAAAATTGTTATTTTATCTATAAGTGTACGATTGTGCAAAAATAACACCAATTTTCACAAAATATAGAAATTGTATTAATGTTTTAGCGAATAATAATTTTTCTACTATTTTCCTGTATTATTGTATACAAAACTACCCGTAAAACGTGTCCATAACAAATGGTAAAGACGAATCCTTTTTCTTAAAAAGGTAAACGCGGAATTGAAGCGAAGAGAATAGGTATGGAAACAGACAAAATATCATCCGAAATTACAAGGAACTACGAATGTTAATAAAAGATGCAACTTATGAGTTGCTAACGAAAACGATATCAGACGAAACACGAAAATTCGTTCACTTGGCATATGTGGCAGTTACGTAGGTAAATAAAAGCATTCTTTAAGAAATTACGCATCAGAATTACAATTGAGATGAGTGGAGAAAAATTTTTGAAATGCCAGATATTTAGTTATTCAATTAATTATTTATTTATTTCCAAATAATTGCGAATCTTAAATTGTGTTATTATCGACCAATTATTATCGACATGAAATCAACGTCGGTAATATTTTCCTCGTACGACATTAAGAAAATGCACATCAATTTTTGCTATTCTATGTTGCCTTTGATCTTCAAGCGCTACAATAAAATCTTAGTAGGCATGAAAATTAATATCAACGCAGACGGATTACTTCGATATCAAATCACTATATATAATAGTTGTACGTAAAATATTACCTAAATTGTAAAATATATGGTGTATTGAAAGGTTCTAAAATCCTTATTGTTTCTTGAACAAACCGGTGCTTGGATTGGTTTTATAAAGTCGTGCGGGACTGGAAGTGCCTAAGTCTTCTAGCTAAAACGTTTTCCAATACAAATCTCTCCAAGCAGCAAACATCCTGCAAGCCTTCTCAACGGCACGAGTTTGCTAAGCGATGCACTATATAACGGGTCGCACCAGCGATGGTTTGTAACTGCCGATCACTCTATTTTCTAGTTGATCGATGTTTCCACGTCATTCATATTATTGGCTTACACTGCAATAAAGTGTAAGAATATTTACACTGCGAATTATCTAATATAGCACCAAATTTTCCACGGCTGTAATTATTGGAATACAAAATATAAATACTTCCTGTTAACATTCAGGGATTACAAGCAATTAGCTCGATCTGCTTGGAAAATTTAGACTTTTTTCTCATTTAGGAACGGATTAACTATGAAGAAATCCTATAAGATCGATTCAGAGGGAACCATCTGAGACCCTAACCTGGTAAAGTATAGAGGCTTCAGCCCAGCAGCGAGGTAAAGGAAGGGATCCATTTTTTAGCAGAAAAGTTACGCTGTTTGAAGCTGATGCATTTTCTTACTGTTGGGACGAAATCCATGCAGGGTGATGGGTTCAAGCGACTAATGCAAAGCATAGAATCCAAGTAAACTTTTTAATTTCGCAACTTCAATTTTATTAGTTAACTTTTTGTGTACTTTTTTCTGTACTTTTTTTGTGTGTACATTTTATTCAGTAGACTATACTAAATGCTAGCAGGCTTCCTTCCGAACTTTTCTAATAGTACAATGTCCGCCTTTCGTTCCGTCTCTTTCAAACAAGGACATTGACGCAAAACTGGCGCTCCCGAAACAATTTACCAACTTCACTCTAATTACATGCTTTACAAGTTTGACATGCAAGCCAAAAACTCGACTGTATGTGTGTTACCATGATCTGACAATGGAAATTTATAATGTTAAATTTAATAACAAATTAATCCAATGACAGAGTGGAAGGGACTACGAGGGCAATCTTGTAACGAGATCTGAAAAAATATAACTCAGTACTCACTACAGTGAATGACAGAGAGCGCATTTTTTCGTTCGTCCGTGACGTGAAGTCACGAACGGACGTGACGAGCACAATAGCGCTTTTTTTCCATAAATGAGAAAATGCGCTAAAAATTAAAAAAAAATGGTAATAATATTTTGAATCTCTCAAGTGACAAAGACACGCTCAAAAAAAGAAAAGCAGAGCAGGCAACGGGATATGAGAAATGTGCCCCGAGAACTTTATGAATCAACCTGAACTTTGTGTGGCATCTCAGACAAGTTTTGATTGGCTGAGTAAACTCTGACAAAAGCAGACGAGTGTGTCTTGTTCTCAGAGGCAGGCAGCATCGCCTCCTCGAGGTTTTAGTTAATGCAGTGCAAAATGGATATAAACTACGAAGGGAGTCAGGAGAAACAATGCTTGAAAATTTTTATTTCCTCTACATATTATTTTATCTTACTAATTGGGATAAAAAGAATTGGGTTATTGGTAATCTTGGTAATATTGGTACTTGTTTGGGACGTAGCAGTCCCAGACCACGATGGATCACCGCCTCTGATTATATCGTTCATCCGCCCTCATTTGGGCCACCAGGTTCCAGGTAAAGGGTTTTGGAATTTTATTCCTTTTTACTTTAGGTATTCCATTTCAAATAATATTTTTGTTTTCGCATGCAACAACCGTCCAGATAAATGCCTGCACTCAAACGCCACAAATAAGATATCAAGCAATCACTTACGTTAAAGTGCGGAGGATTTCCGCGGTTATAGGAGAGCGGTATAACATATTTACGGTCATGACCGATTACCTGCAATTATATAGATAAAAAACAAATAAACTGCTATCTTAGACCGCCAAATAATATTCAGACGGCGTAGGTTGTATGGAGAAAACGTGACTCTCAGTATATCATACGGGTTTATTGAAGCCGCTTACTTTGTAGCTAAACGGCTTTGAAAAATTCTGAAATTGCCCAATGCCCGGTTATTCACCCATAAATTGAAAAAAAAAACGAAAGAAGAAAATAGCGTCCTACCCTAGGAAATCGTGATAAATATTTTTTTAATCAAGGAGATAATACATAACTTATACCCTGAGCTTAAAATAATGTAAATCAAATTATTTTTATTGTGTTAAAAAGTTTCCACAAATGGTAAATTTCAGAAAAAAACTACCATTTCCAGGTGGTCATAAAAAAATAAGGTCTTCAAGATCAAAAAAAGAACGAGTTGTGAGAAATTCAGTGGAGGTCAAGAGTATAAGTTCATACAATATTTGATATTCCGTCATAAAGTTTGCTACTGCAAAGCAATATACTAGGGTAGATTGCGTTGTTCACGTATTAAATTGGTTAGTCCCCAATAGAATAGCAACGATCCACCGTACGTGTTCCTTCATGGCGCTCGTTCTCTTATATTACACTTTTACTGGTAGTAATTCAATTAGACTTTTCCTTTAATTCATTTATTACTAACTATTAACTAATGACGCATAATGTGCGCACCTCCCGTGTGAAAACTGTCTCTCTTATCCAATATTGGTACTCAGAACTGCAACCACTGGGCCACCCTGCCCTCGATCATAGCATAGCAATGATC